CCATAACAGTTGGGTCCATGTCTGGACACTGGGCATTATATTAACTACGTAGTCCAGTAGCCAAAAGCTTCCATATGCTGGAACAGATGACTATCTCCATACTGCGCCAGGATATTTAACCGTTTAGATCTAATATTGCAGTGCAGAGACTTGGTTCTAAATCTTACCTAATTTTTCAAGTTTTCTGATGGGTACCTACAAATTACACGGATAAAATGTGAAATAAAATAGAGCCACGTTGCATACCTTCCTTAACGTCTAAAAAGAATTATTTTGCAAGAGTGATTTTTTTTTTTTTTTTTTTTTGTCTGAAAAACAGGTTACTGAGGAGGTGGTAACAAGGATGCAAATATTATCTCCCTCTATAAAAGAGATAAGAATGCTGTTGTAAGCCTGCTATTTTTACATTTAATGTGACTATCTTATCATAACCAAGCTAAGCCAATTGAAGACCAATTACTATATGTAGTTTCACATGTACCTACCATTTGTTTTTTTAAACGGGTTTCTGATTACCAAATCAGAAATGGTAGGGCCAAAACACAGCCCATGAGCAACTATCAACTTGCTTTCTTAAATAGTAAAATATTTCTATTTCTTTTGCAACTTGATTAGCAAATATTGTATCTAAGAACAGAAACTGAAAACACAATTCAGTGCCACACAATTACACTTTAAACGGTACACTTTTATGCACTGTCAGAAACTCTTGGCTCTGTTTTTATTTCTATGGCTGCTAAGCTAGAAGATTCCCCATGTATGACTGTGTATGTATTAAGGAGCAAGCTGAAAAACGCCAATTCGGAAAAAAAAGGACAATTTCATCTTCAGAGTTCCTGTCTTGCAGAGGATTTCAGAGCTTACCTGTGGTAAACTACATGACACTTGATCTTGATACAAATTCCTCTATAATGACTATATCATCAAAAGCATCTGAAAGTTATTCAGCATTTTACACTTGTGAGCTAGGAGAAGTTAGAGGTCCAAGGCATGCAATTATTCGTAGCTCTTGTCGAAGGAATAAAGATTTCAAACTGTGAGAAATTCACAAGCTATGGGAGTTCACATCTCATAATCGTAGAGCAGCAGCAGATTCTCAAGTAATCTATAGCTTGACTCGGAGTTTAGTCGCTAAATTACTCAGTGTGAACACAAAAGCCCATGGATGTGAAAAGGTTTGTTTCTGATTTTTTCTACACTGAAACATAGAGCAAGTCAATACACTTCACTGAATTCAGAGCATCAAACCATTAATATTGTAGGAAATGAATTTTTAAACACATTGGAGGAAATAATGAAAATACCTTGCTAAACAGAACGTCAGACTCTGAGGAGAAATACTGCAACCAGGCTTATTCATACCGACTTTTCATTAGTTAATTAATTTCCCTTGGTAGGTGCTGACAAATACAGTTGTTAGTCCTTACCAGGAACAAAGTTTCATGTTCACAATAAAGGATGGCTTCAATAAGAGATGGGCTTTCTTTCCATAAATATAAGTGTGAAATAATATAAGAATTATAATTATTATAGCTATTATTATACCTAATGTTACAACACCATTGTGCATATTGTAAGTACAACAAAGTGATTTTCTGTAATTAAAAACAAAAGGAAAAAAGAAAATACTTTAAATTCTTATTTAGTACTAATATCTATTTTCTAGTACTAATATCTATCCAATTCTAATTTAGCAAATATCCAGCAGGGATACTGAAGTGCTTTAGGTCACATGCTATAGCACAAAAATTTTCAATTGGGTATCAAAATTATCAGATTATCAAAGTATAGAAAAATAACTCTGATTTGTTTATATAAGGTTTGTTAAATTGGGACAGTGTAACAACAAATCTGTCATCATGTTGCTCAATGCTTCGTTTAAAAAATGGAAGCCTTTTTCCCTTTTAAATGCACAATCGCATTTTATGGGCACAAAGCATTTTTGAGAGGCGGTAGAAAGACTTGAAAAATAACCTTCCATCAACTATTTTAATCACATTCATAAGTATCTCAATATTTATTACCTGACAGACAAGGTAAGATAAGAGTACGTTCAATCGGTAGAAAATATCAATCAAGTAAAACTTGTCACGCATGATGTGCATAAAATTTATAATTGGCTAAGTTTTCAGTGAAATCCTTGAAATCCTCTTCCACACTCCTGATTTTATTTCAGGTGAGAAAACTAATTCTCTTGGGCACTTTTTATACTGGAAATGCCATCAACAAAATACAACGAACATGTTTTGCTGGACTAAAATTTCTCCATAATATTCTGAAACCATTCTGTATACAACCAGCCTCTATTTTATAAACTTGTGCCTTGTGGTTGCACCTCAGCCAACACTCAGGCTTAGAAAAGACTGTGACAACATTCAGCATCCCCTCCAACTCTGTGAAAGAGCATCATAGATGGAATTCAGAATTCTTAAATCCAAGACAATGAATAGCTGGAATATTAGTGCTATTCCAACACATTGGTGGATATGTATTACAGACAAAAAAGCATGAAGAACAAAATCACTGTTCAGTGCTGAGTAGTGATCAAAGAGAGCACATACATTAGAACGTGGGAAATAGAAGCAATCTGCATCCATTGAGAGTTTAAATTTATATTTATATGTGTGTGTGCGCGCATATAAGTATACACACATTGCTTCTTCACCCAAGTAATGAGCACTGGTGGCTGTCAGAGACAAGGCATGGTATGGGGCACTACTGAAAAACCAGGATCAAGTGTGTAACACAGCTAGTTCTGTGCATTTATGCTCCTAGTGTGGGCATAAAATAAATTCAAAACCCAAATGTAATCAACATTTTAAGTTTACTTGCATGGAAATTACCCATATAAGCATTTTGCTTGCGGACCAACTCATTAAAACCATTGGGAGGCAAAAGAAAACGTAGTAGAGAAGCCTTTGCTCAAAGAACAAGTGTGAAATTAACTCTGCTTTTAGAAAAAAACCTGTGTGCATTTTCTGCACCTTCAGCGTGCTCACTGGCTTTAAGATTCGCCGAGAAAGCATATGCGAGAAGTTCCTTTGATCAGACTCAATACATATGCAGAAACGCCCTTGAACAAAACACAACAAACGCCCTCCCCTCATTCTCTCGCTAAGAAAAGATATTTTCTTTCCTTTTACTTCCACTCCAGCACGAACCCTCGGCGGCAGCGGGACGAGTGGGCGCGCTGTGAGAGCGTGAGCAGCTGCTGCTGCCATTACAAGGGCAGGTCTGTCCGCGGCCCGCGCCCGTGTGCGCCTGGCCTCTCCTCCGCCAGCCTCCCCAATTAAGGAGCGAGGCGGAGGGCTGCACACACGCTCTCAGGGGCTCTTTACCAGGCTCCTCGGGGCGCCGAACAAGGACACAGCAGGGCTCTGGGAACCCAGTAATGGGGGGTATAAGGAACCCTCCAGCAGCTTTGCTCCTCCTAATGACAGTTCTCCACACAGCTTAGCGCTGAAGGAAGCATACACGAGGTAGAACAATTTCAACAAAACACTTAACGCTCTCATTGGTTCAATGCTGCTAAGCAAAGATTCTGCAAGTTTGGCTTTATTTTTTTTTTATTCAGAATAATCTAGCACTTACCATAGGACAATCCTGCCAGAACTCAAAAATAAAAGTTAAACTAAAAAACTGATTTCAATCCTAACTCACTTGCAATTGACTTATATGGAACTGAAAAACACAAAAGCAACATCCCAGGTTAATTTGAGACAAACGGAACTTTATCCTTTAGTCTCTTCCCCCTCCTAGAAACCTACTGGAGAGACAATTCTAGAATAGTTCTTTAAAACATGCTCTTACCAACAAAACTCTTACCAACATAATTTACCAATAAGAACACATTGAAACAGACTGTATGTCCCAGTTACAGACAGGTAACTGCAATCTGTAGAGAGGCACATGCTAGCTGAATATTTACAGAAGTTATAATAATTGCATTAAATTTTACTATCAACCTTTCTAAAGGAATAACATCAGCTTCTATTAAAAATAGTTAAGCACGGAGATAAAATTCTGCCCCAAAAGATAATTTCAAATATGTTCATATGAACTGTGGATCCCAATAGTAAAGAAAAATAGAGTTCCTCTCTATTTTAGCAGTACCAGGGGTATCTAGATAAATAACATCTAGATAAATAACAGATTTTCAAGCATTTTATAAAATGCAATGCATGCATAAAGATGATGCGATACTATGAAAAGATTTGGCATAATGTCAGGTTTCATCCAATATTTTCTTATAATCAATAAACTCATAGATTCTCTGTTCATTGCAAGTAATTTTTGCTTTTATAAATATACTACCATTTGCAGGGAAAAAAGTATCTAAATTTTTTCCTTTTACTACAAAAGCTAATCTCCAAAAGACAAATTTTCAACTCTAAATACTCTCAGGAAAGCTGTTTTTAGAAGCTTTCTGTTTTCCAGTTGGGAAAATTATTCCTATATCATCACTGTCTTATCCCGGGTCTTAACCAAGAGGCATGTCTGAATTGAACAGTAAACCTGTACCCCTCAGCTCCTGGCTTTAAAGACAAGATTAGTCATCATCACGATGAACATGACAACTTAAGACAGGGGAGTAAAACTGTCTTCTATTGAGACTCCAAGCTGTTGGCTGTTGAAAACTAAAGGATTCTCCGTCTTTTTAAAATAATTTCTGAGGTTTTATTGTCTCAAAAAAAAAAAAAAAAAAAAAAAAAAAAAAAAAAAAAAAAAAAAAAAAAAAAAAAAACACAGATTAAGACCCACGGAAGGAATAAATGTACCTAAACTGATTTTATGTTTAGGTCCCAAAGATTCTGCAGCACAAGATGGTCCATCAAAAGTATAGAAAAAAGGCCCTTTTTTTTTTTTTTTTTACCTTTGCCCTTAGAACACAAAAAGTTTACACAATGTCAAATATTGGGTTTCTTTCCTTAGCATATTCATGAACTTTTGTTCATTCAGGTAACACCAACTATGAGATAGAGCAAAGAGAGCATTCCTACCTGGATAAGGTGAGCAGGTACCGTGATGATGCAGGCGGACAAAGACTTTCTGAGGAGGCCGCGGAGAACATAGAGAAATTTTGTAATGCTGTGGGCATTTTCAGGATTTTCAGTGCAACAAATGTCATCGTCCCACAACATGGAACCCAGACTCTGAATTCCTATCCGCAAAATATTTTTTTGTTTTTTCTGTTGAAAAAAACGGAACTACTTATGTTTCAAGCATTAAGAGAAAATGTATAATATTTAAATAAGTTACCATAGCTTAATCTCAGAGGATCCTGATAAAAAATTGTAAAAATTACAACTGCAATGGCCTATTCCACAACATCAGTAATGTGCTATGATAGATAAGCAAGGGCAATAGGTAGCATGAAAATAAGACAAACTAATTTACATTTTTTCTGTAAATACATACAATTGAAAACACAAAGGAAAAATATGCTTTCATATCCCTTACCTTCCCAATCATCGCCTTAAATAAACATGTAAAATAACCATTCTTTTCTGAATCTTTCAAGGTTGGAAGCACCTGAGCAATACAAACCCAGCTATACCTCTTCCCTCTATTCTTAGCTTTCTCCCTGTGCATTTTTACGTGCTGACCTTTCTTCACTTCCCTTTCACTTTGCCTGCTCCTGCCCCGTGACCCCGGCTGCCGGCCTCCTTCCCTGGTGCAGGTCCGTGGCCCCGGTTCAGGAGAGCCTATAAATATCCGTGCAGCACGAAGCTTTCCGTGAACTGCTGTCACCTCATGAACAAAAGTCTGTCCACAGCAATCACAAGTACCCTCACAAAGACACTGGTAGACCATTTCTGAAGAAAAGTCCTTCCTATTTCTGAAGGAAAAGCCGTGGTTTCTGAATCTGCATTAGGTACTGAGTACTAGAATTCAATCTTTTAGCTTATGAAACCCTAAATGGCCTTATATTACCTAAAGACTGTGTGCTTCCAGGACTGCAGCCAACACAACAGTGCCCGAGATGAAGTCCCAGTTCTGAGGGGGCAGACTAGGAAGTCAGAGCTGGAATGTGTCTATGCAAACTCAGCTGTCATCTCTCATGAACATAAATCTCATTTTGGCTAATTTGATATGATTTTTCCTGGTAATGTAGAAAGATTTTAAGTGTATCTGCTATCAACATAAGAGAAAAAAATGGCAAGTACAGCAGTTGAAAGATGTCTTGCAGAGGGTGATCAATACTTGCTTTGTGTTCAGTGTAACGACCGCATAAAAGAGCACTTCTCACACAGTACATGGGTACAACATTTACATAATCCAAAAGCTAAAAAGCAAACATTGTTTTTACTGAAAGTTTATGTTAAAAGCACATTGTAGCTGGACTTCTGCAAGAGAAAGAAGTTACAAATGGTAAAATAAGATAAGGGGGAGAATATCTTCCCTGTTATTTTCACTGTCTCATACAAATCTTAAGCCTCCTGTCCATGGCATACCCACAGCTTACCTGTATTGTCCTGCCTGCAAAACCACTGAAAGGGTTTTCCTCAGTCCTGTTAAACCACCTCATGTTGAATGAGAAAACCTAGGCTTTTGCTGACACAGCTGCAGCCACACAGGGCTTCTGCTGGCACCAGGATAGGAACCAAGGACAGCGGTGCTGAGCCAGGCTAGCTGTGCTGGGGAGGCTTGGCACAGTCCAGCTACTTACATGCAGAACTAGCAAATATGATTCTTTATAAAACGTGGCTTTCAGATTTCAAACCTATATTAGGAAGTAGAGAGAGAATAAAATCCAAATTCATTTTTTGCACAGCAATGATCTGGAAGGGAAAAAGGTGCCAGATAATGTATTCTTCATATTCACTACAAGAAAAATGTTAATATGCTTTGCACCCATGCAAATAAACACATTCCCAGATGTTTCTTAAGTCATACACAAAGGAAGTGTTGTCTTAATTTCGCAGCATTTTTTTTCCACTGAAATAAAAGAAGCCAGTTGGTCTTTCTGACATCATCTTCCTTCATAGTTACCTAAGTTTCCTATTCAAAACACTAGCTAACATGAACACCAACTGGCATTTACAGGGCGCTTTTCCTTACAAGGCACAGCTTGGATACCGATCCCCATTCGCACCGGGCTGCAGCGTGGCTGGCGCCGAGGGCGGCTCTCCAGCCCAGCCCTCTGCCCAGCAGCCCTGCGGAGCCTCAGGAGAGCTTCTCCCACCAAGGGCCTCCCTTCAAGGGCCTCCTGCTCCGTTCTGGGCAGGCAGAGCCCCGGCAGAGCCGCCCAGCGAGCGCCACGCGGCGGGTTCTCCTCTCCTCCACCTCCCAGGGCTCGGCCGGGCGGCTCATCGCCCTGCTCTTGCACAATCGCTCTGAAAGCAACAAGCCTTCTGCTGCGTTCTGCAGTCTCCTAGGCTTTGCATATTTGAAGTTAACTTGTGGCAGGATGGTGTAAGCATCAAGAGAATAGTACAGGAAAATAAGACAAAATTTGACTTGTCTGCCTGCTACTAGGCAGTAGCAGGCAGACAAGGTCTGGTACAAGGTACTTGTCTGCCTGTACTAACTAGGCTGGGATGTTGTAGTTGTTAACTGGATAAGCAGAATCTAATATTCTTAAGAGTAGATTTAAGGACTTACGGATCTAGGCACTTATGGATGCCTGTTTAAATAATGTTACAAGAAACAGGCATTGAAAGAAGTTATTTTATGCAAGATGGAGTGGATTCATTACCCACTATACAGTAGAGAAATAACGTGCCAGTACTCCATAAGTACAACTCTATGTTAACACAAGGTAGTTACTCTGAACTAAGTTTCTTCAAACTTTTGTGAGAAGAAAAATTTTTCATCACAAAGGACATGATAAGAAAGTCATAAACAGAGGCAAAATTAGCATAAAACCAGCTCACATTGCTTAAAGAGTAAGAGACGCTTGCTTTGCAATATCATATTTATTAGAGTTGGGAAAGAAAGCTGTGACAAAATCAGAAGTCCCTTCATTTTTTTCCATCAATAACTGAATTTCTATGAGGATAATTGTCAGGGCAGTTCAGGTTTATTCACCTCTGCAGGGCCCTGGAGAACTGTTTCTTCCGTAACTGATATATTAACCCTTTATTAAAGGATATCTAAAGGCAACTAAAGGAATTGCTGCAGATAGTTAATGGGACATTTAAAAAAAGCTGCAGAAGAAGCAAAGCTGGTATTTGTGAGCCATTGGTGATTCAGGCCCAGAATTTCCTAAGAGTCCTTGACAAAGTCGTTCAAGTCAGTGTCAGCAAATAGGTTACTGCTTTGGTTAGCTTCAACCAAGTTATTTTGCAGGGCCCAGCCTAATACCAAGAGCAAGGATTGCTCTCCCGGAGCCACAATGCAATGAAGGACAGTCAAAAATTATTTATCCAGAGCAGCCAGATGGTGGAAGATCCTATAAAACACTAATGTTAACCAGACATATTTGGCATCAGAGACATGTGACTGATTTATCAGAGGTCCATTAAACTTGTAATGTAGCTTTCACTCAAGTCCCCACATCAGCAGAACCTACTGGGAGCTGGGCTAAGTCACACACTCTTCACTCTCCTCCAGACTCCTCTTAAAATGCTGATATTAAAAGGACACAAAGGTACATAAAGAGGAGCCAAAAAAAAAAAAAAAAAACTTGTACATCTAAGGATTGTTGTATGCTGATCTAGACACAGCCAAGAACATCCAAAGGTTTTACCAACCAGGCTAAACTTTTCCCTTCAGATCCAGACCCTTCAACTCCCATGAACAACAAACAGCAGAGACCAGCAACTCTCAAAGGCCGGTACGTCACAGAATGAAGAACAAGGCCTGAACGGCACCAGCTAGAGGACATATGGGAGCACAAATTTCTCAGCCATTTGTGACATCTAGAGATCCAAAGCGTGCTCTGGACCATAACTACATTCAGCCCAGGACATGTTCAAGAATTGCCGATTATGTTCAACTTCTATATGTACAGAATTTGAGGATGTGGAGACACATGACACAGTATTGCATATGACATGGAACAGCCAACTGAGCAGAGCCAAAAAGCAAACAACTTTCATCCTACCTTTTCACACTTAAAATGATTTTATTACTTACTCTATGGTTTATGAATATTGAAGGGATCCTTAAAAGTCTGGGAAGCTGTTTTGATATGCAGGTTCAAATAGCATTTTTTTAATTGCATTTTAACACATAAAGATGCACACCATTTAATGCATTAAAAATTTCAGTCCAGCTATCACAACATTGAAAAAAAGGAATGTTTAAGATTAAATGCTTAATCTCAAGAGTCTTAAGCACATTACAGCTAAAACAATAATTTGAAAAAAAATCTCTAGGGGAAAACGTGCTTTACCTGATTTCACTATATTAGGTAAGCGGGTTAATTCACTAATTGCACAGAGTATGCATTTTTATAATGTTGTCTTACAGTCTTTTCTCACTTCCCCTGCATATCTGTTAAAAACACATAAAAGCTCCAAATGGACATTAACACACAAACCCCATTCTCTATTTACTTCTCTTGTTTACTTTAGCAATGCTCTGAAACAGCTTGTTCCTTGTTAATTTGCCCAAGACCTTCATGTGCCACCCCAGAGAACTGTGAAAACAACATTAGCTACGGGGTTATAGAGGAGTATGAAGGTGTCCAGTACCTGGGGATGAGAGCCATCAAATCCTTCCTGATAAATGATCTTCTGAATGGACTGAAGCAGCCTTGCATAACCACAGTTCATATTACTGTTGGCAAGAAGAAAATGTTTAACAACACATTTTAATATGCTGCTAATAGCAATATTTAAAAAAAATACACAAAATTTTAGCTTTCTGGCCGAAAGTGTCACATAAAGGGAAAAAATCCTCACCGAAACCCTCACAACATAGATATTACAAAGTAGAAATTAAGTTGCAGTTGTGATCATGTTAACTAATTCAGTGCCCAGACATTTTGTGAAAGGTAAAACCTCTAGAGATTAAGATAACTTAATTATGTCAGGCTTCATTACCTCTAGAAAAGCAATGATTTACTGTAGCAACTTCAAGATGAAACAACTACACAGTGTTTATCATCTATAATTGCCACAGCGTTACCCAACTGTTATTCCAAGCACACCTTAGCCAATGCTCTGATGAACACAGCTGATTTTCTGTTATTTACCATTTTCCTACTTAGAGCCGCTATGATCTCGGAGTGCACAATCAAAACAAGCCAATTGCTTCACTTTAAATTAAAAAAAGAAAACTAGTTTGGCACAGTTGGCTTTATTTTATTAGTATTTTCTCATCCAAGTCTTATAACATAATCCTCCTGCACTCCTAGAGCACTTCAGACACCCATCCCAGCCATGATCTCCACTCAAGGGGACAATGTACACAAACAGAAAACCCCAATCTGGACTTTGTCAGCTGTCTACTTTCCAAAGAGCCATACTAGTTTCCTAAGCCCCACAAAGCTTGTGTAGGTTGACATGAGGCAAATTCCTCACTGCATCCAAGAGTTTAAGCTCTTCTCTCTTATCTTCAGCATTTTCTTCTGGCCTTACCGGTGCTGTGGATTCATGTGTGTCTTGGGAATAACGAGAAGTTCTTTTGAAGATTCTACCTCTAGCAAAATATGTTATATCAATGTGTTTTACTAAAGCACACGTGAATAAATCCAATTAAACGTGCTCCCTAATTTCATACAGGAAAGACAACAAATTTTCTGAGAAGCATTTAAGTTACAAATAGACCTTTTTCTTGGACACTCTTGCTTTAACTCTGAATTCTACATTTTTACAAGAAAGCAGTATCAGCTCCTCCCCAAAAGATATATTTAAGTCAAAGTCTATAACAAATCTGAATAGATATATATTCATTATAATTTCAAGTTTTGAAAAAATTAATGGTAGAAAACATGAACAGATGAAATTCTCAAATATAAATAGAGGGGAGAGCTCAAAATGAAACTTCTTTTTTTGTTGTTTTTGTCCAATAGAATGTGACTGGTTAAACTGAAATACCTTAATACTTCAATACTACCTAAAAACCACAGATGCAAATGACTGGCAACATATATCTCAATATGACACATAGTGTACAAAGTCTGCCATGCTATATAAAAAAATAACATTACAAACAGAAAGACAATATTGGTTTTAAATATTTATCTGTGACATCTTCAAGCTGCTGCTTTGCGAGGTGGGGGACAGAAGGCTTTAGCCTTCATGTTAAACAAAATCTCTCACCCCTCCATGTCACTGACTTCACATTTTGCCAACACTAATTCCTAGTTGTTACTAAATTGCTTTTAAAAATGATAAAATAAAATACTTCAACCTCTATAAGAATTAAAAAGTTCCAAAATAAAAAGCAGAATTTCTCTAGTTAACCTGCTAGAAAAGGTCTGAAGCAATAGAAGAGTTCCAGGCAAAGCTTTCATATAATACCTATAGAATGATTTAAAAGTAAGGTACTCTTTGGCTTCTGACTGAAATATTAATGGTTTACTTAAATTTCAACCATGCTATGTAAATAAGGACATGAAATATATTGCTGAAACACTGTTGCTAAAAACAAGTGGTATTATTCTTCTGGCAGTGTCATAAAAATATTTAAGGAAGGAAACAAGGTATTTTTTATTTTCTAATTTGTAAGTCTTTTTTGTGCTTGTTGCCCAACACCCTAATTCTGATAATGAGTTTAAACAACTCCATCTTTACCCTTTTTGTTTAGCAATTTGGTAACGGATAAAGCAGGAGGTATCCTGGTTACAGCAGAGACTCTGACTTCCCTATTGATAGTTTCTAAGCATTTAACAAAGGTTAGGTTATCAAGGCTATGACAAATAGCCTTTTTATGTATAAGGAGACCCCATTAGGGCAGACAGTTAAACCTGTTTTATCTAAATCTATCTGTAAATCTAGATACTACATAAATTCAGTATTTTTTCAAAAAAGAACTGGTAAGTTTTCAAAAAAGAACTGGTAAGTACCACTACAAAGGAACAATCATGAGAGAAGGAAAGTCAAGGGGCAGAAAGCAGCTCTCTTCTGTGCTGCCCAGTTATAACAGCGGTTATTTTTGCCTTCCTGTTAAGCACCAGTTCCACAAACGCAACAAAAAGGGCACCAGAACATCCTAGCAACTGAAAACCTGTTGCTGGCAGCTCCTCGGTCCTGTTAGCTTGGTGGGGGGGGGACACAACTGCCCTTCCCCAATACAGAAATCAATGAGATAAAATATGGAAGGTTAATGCCTTCTTCTGGCATGAAGCACTCATTGGTGTTCACTACTTGCTTTAGGAATACAGACTTACCAGGCTGTTTTCAATACAATTTGGTCATAGAGCAGTAAACTTCCACCCATTTTGAGCCATTAGGTACCAGACCTACAGAAAAGGGCAAATATAATGCTGCTTGTCTACCTCCTCCAAAGAGGACACTTACCCACCGACAAGAAAAGAAACACTCTCAAATTTAAGATGAACAAATGATGTCCAAGTCCTCCAAATCCGGTCTTCCTGTAACTGAATGCAAAAGTCCAGGCAACTACCTGGTTCTATCTAACCAGCCAACAAAAGAACTCTTTGCAGGTCCATAAGGAAGCTAAATGCTTCATAAAATATGGAGAGACATTTTTCATACATATGTGATTTCTACAAGGGGCCAGGAGTTTTTGGCTCAAATAAAGCCTCTCTCCTTCAAAGTGAGCACTCTAATCATGCAACAGACATGAGCTACAGCGTTCTTGCAGTGAAGAACATGCTAAATAAAACAAGTTTGGTAAAGTGATGTTACAGAAGCATCCAGATGATTGATTCTTGTCACAAATATCTTGTTCTTATGCCACATAGCATTAATACAAAGGTCTCTGCTCCTATGCATACAGTATTGTTTTCTAAGTGTCACGAAACTTCCACCAGGCTGTTTCCACCTGGAGCATAAGCTGTACAGGCAAACAGGGCACACTGCTTTGCTTTTATATTCTCCTTCACTTGCATAATCTGCTCTTTGTTATTATTTCCCCAAGCTGTGAAAGGGACGGAGAGCAAAACATTGCTTCTCTTGTTCCCCATCCTTTCCAACCAACACAAGGCTACAGGCAGAGAACTGTTCCAAACTGCCTGGAAGAATGGCAGAATGCTGCATTTTGGGGAATTTCAGATGCTATAAACTGCCTTCATCCAGCAACAATACAATTTAGGCATGAGAAATTATATACTAGCTAAACCCATCAGTATCTCATTCTGCCCTTACCTCTGCCTTAGTAATGAATGGAGTATATTCTTTGATTGGAACAAAAATAGACACTTTTATTTAGAAACAGGCCAATGGCTTCAGCCTGTACTTCTACATGAAGTAAGAAAAATTTCACTCAGAAATATCTTTATTTATACATATCTTACAAAGCATATCTTTTGAAAGTCATGAAATCTTTAAAAGACATCCCATAATACATAACCTATTATTTATGAAAATTGCTTCAATAACGAACTATCCTCCTTCTTAAAAACGCACCCTTATTTTGAAAACGCTTTGTATAGTGTCAGCTATCAGTCACGGGATTTTATTATAGTTCTGACACATTAAAGACACAATTTCTACTACCAGAAATGACTTTTCTTTAAACAGAGGTTTATAGATCATAGCACATTTACTGTCAATCACCTTTTGATAAATTAATTGAATTTTTTAAAATGGTATTTCAGACTATTTCTGAATCTCAAGTCATGTTGGCAACAATTTTCTAATTCCATTCAGTACTTCTCTGACGCACTGACAGATTAATAGTTCACACAAGTCTCCAAATGCTGTATTGGTAATAAGCATTATGCTACCAGATACATCATCTCAGACCATATACAGAGAAATTTATGTTTAAGAAATTAAATCTGCTCAGTTGACAGATGATAACCAGCCACACGTGTGGTCCCAGTCACTGGAAGAGCCAGGAAAAGAGCTTAGCTCAAACTCTCTTCAGTGAGAGCTTCAGGCAAGCAAAGACTAGGTCTAATGCCAACTGCTGATCTCGAGCGGCAGGGTTAACTGTGACTATAGCACTACTTTCTTTTAAATCATTGCTAAGTTAATGAGAAGGGGATTTTTCACCAGTCTATAATATAGTGAAGCTAGCTTTAGAAGCCGCAAGCATTGCATTCACTTGCCAGACAGCAATGACAATAAAATAGTATCTTACCCTCCCCTTCTTTAAACTTCCTTAAATGAAATGGTCCAGATAGGATTGAGAGATTTACACAACTCAAAGCCCCTTACCATAGCTTCTTAAAAAAGGAATGCTTCCTTCAGAACTACACTTGGTAAAAATACTTGCTTGCTACTTTTTTATAAAAGCATTTTGAAAACAGCGAAATAATTGGTACCATTGCTATTTAGTTTAGGATTTAATACACTATGACTAATGTGTATTAAAGAATCACAGAAGATAGGGATGAAAGGGACCTCAAGAGGTCAGCTAGTCTATCATCTTGCCCCAAGGCAAGATGAACTACATCTAAACCATCTCTGACAGACATTTACCTAACTTGTCCTTAGAAATCTTCACCAATGGAGATTCTACAATACTCCCAACGTGTGTCTGCAAGGCAACTTCTTCTAATGCGCCTCATTAGAAAAATATCTCCTTATGTCCAGTCTGTTTCCACTGCTACATTTTACTGTAACCTACTCATGCTTGTCCTACCATCAGCAGACAACAGAAATATGAGCCTTGGTGTGTCAGTCTGTAACTGACTTCAAGATTGTTACTGAGACTGGATGAGCTTTGTCTAAACAGCTCCCACTCTTGCCTCACAGCCCATACAAGCTAGTCCTAAACCGACAGGCAGTCACAGCCCTCTCTCCAGCTGATGCTCAGTTTTCTTGAAGGAGGCTACCTAAACCTAGACAGCCTTGTTAGGGTTGAGCAAAACACAAGTACTTTAATGTCTTCTACATAAAGCCCCAGCTTATCACGTCCATGTATTTTAAATTACACATTTAGGCAGAACATATCACCTAATACTGCTAATCTATCTTATGTTCAAGACATTTTATAACACGCCTCCCACACCCACCTTTTCTGGAGAACTGCAACATCATTTCTTTTGTGCAATTGACTGTTCTTACAAGTATAGTATTCTGCATGTTTCCCCTGAATTTTATATAGTTTCAGACAACTGACCTAAATCTTTTTGAATTCTTATTCTACCTCCTAAATGTACGCAATTATTCCTTCTACCCTTTGCCAAAGTTGACATGCTTCATGACTGCAATAAAACAGCCATTGCTCAGGACATTTATCAAGTTGCTCATTAGGACCAGATGCAATATTGGGATAAAGCCTGATATTTCATTCAATTTCAACTGTGAGTCAATGACAGCTTATTTAGAAGATAAGGATTTAACAGTCAACGCGGATTTGACAAAAATGAAACTGTCAAACCAGCCTATATTCCTCTTTTGACATGATGGCAGACTTAATCGATGCAGAGTATCTTCTGGTTTGTTTTAAAGGCTTTTGACTCGGTTCAACACTCATAAGCAAACAAAGAAAAATTTGCACTGAGTTAAACTCTTTTAGAAGCCTAAAAAAATATGTTTTTCCCAGTACTTTTCAGAGCACTGATAGTATTCTACAGATGCCTTCTCCTTCCCCCTCCTTAAAAACAGGCAGTGCTTCAGTCTTTTTGATTGCATGGAACTCTTGACAAATTTTGAAATTTGAAAATATCTAGACATCTTCTAATCTGTTCTTTCCTTACATAATCAGCATATTTCTGTTTATTGATACAACATACGGAACCAACAGAGACAGAATCTGAGTCTGAAGAACTCTAGTTACACAACACTAATGAAAGGAAGCTAAAATTTTAATTCACTTTGTTCACATGTCTCAAAAGTGACCAAATGTCCAATATGGATGACAATCTTCGATTTCTTTTTAGAGAAAGAAATTGTATTTCAGATGTGATAATTCTGGAAAATTCTTCCTCTCATGTCACCTTAACTTGATCTAAATCAACTTTTTTCTACCATCAGTAATCCAAACACAGTGGCCTGTGTCAGAGTATGAGAAGACAGTTACAAAATAAATTCTTCTATGTAAAAGGTATAAAAATCTCTTTATACTTCCCTCCAACTGATCTCTGTCTACTACTTTACATTCCCAACATGTTCTTTATTCCTTTCCGACAGTATCGACACTGTGGGCCAAAAAAAATGTTGTTCAACACTGGTTGTCTGCTGGCTCAGCATGTCCAAAACTCATCTTCATCCGATTACCTTCCTCACCCTATCAGCTGGTGTTCTACTGAGAAATCACTCACTAGAGGAGTCCTACACAATTCTGGCAGTTCTAGATTTTCCATGTCCCTATAACGTGTTATTTACAGCAAGAATTGGGTCATCATCAGTATGACTAATGCAAATAATAACTACAAAATCAAATAAAAATGCCTTACTGAATAAAAACAAGTGATCTTTGACTGTATAATGCTGCAAAAATAACAGGGAGACTTGGCTTTTGCTTGTCTACACTTCTAAGAAACATGTTTTTCTTTTACGAATCCCAGTTTTTCTATTTAGAGCATATTGTAATCAAAATTAATTACAAAAGAAAGCATGCTGTATTACTCCTGCAGGTTAATTATTACTCTTGCTCCTCCCTATAAATTTGCATCTATAAAGCCTAGACATTACATAAATAAAGTGAATGGGCTGAACAAAGATCGCTAGTCTGTATCTGGCATTTGACTTGACTTGAAATGTCTCCAAGACACAGTAGACGTGGAGGCCACAGGCTAATACGAGCCGCCTTGAATGCTGTCACTCATTTTCCTGTGGTTTCAATTCATTACTGATAGACATGAGCTATAATGAGTTATTCGCTCAGAGAAGAGTTTGTGACTTTTTCTAGAATGAGGGTTGTTGCCTAAGACATAACAGTCATGCACAGTATTTTGTTTTGGTGGAGCTGTAACATGTTATAAGTCTTTAATCAACATGATACAGCGTTCTAAGATATTTAAGTCAAGGTTGCCCTATTTTCTTGACCATAAATCTCTGTATGAATATTCCCATACACCCCATGAAAGCTGAAGGGGCATGCAGCTCATGCAGCTCACTGGCAACCAGCAAGTTTTTCTCTATTCTACCTCTCAATCTTCAGAAGGGGCAGACTGAGTATTCAGTCCTGGCCCAGGCAGACACAGCAACATCTATCAATCATCACTGCCCTCTTGCTTCCTCCCCAGCTAAGGGGTCAGTGGGCTGAGCAGCCTCTGTGCCACGCTGGTATTACACTGACACAATTAAATGATAAAGGTTTTTCCACAGTAAAAGAAAAACAATGTCACTTACTACTAATATGCACACAAAATCCGAATGTCAGTAGAAACATATGTGATTACAACTTACTGCATTTTTATTGTAGGCTGCAAAGATGGTTCTTCAGGCAGGAAAAAACTGTGGCATTTTACGGATTGTAACAGTTCTGAAGACATCTTTTTAGAAACATCATAATAATGGCCAAATCTTGAAGATGTACTTGGGCTGGCCTGTGGAAACAGCAATAACGATTACAATAACCTATTAGACCATCATTTGCCATGAGAAGGAAGTTAACTAGCAGCACATCTACCAAATCTGAGTTTTTAAATTCAGCATAAATAAGCTTCAAGCAGAGCACAAATATAAAACTTGTTTCTATAAAGTTCCAGCTCTGCAGCTGACTTGCTGTATTGCTTTTTCTCTTCCCTCCATACAGAACTCAACTCTCCACTGGTTGCATCAATAAGGTAGATGCCTAAAAAGACCCTTATCTGCACATAGTCCAGGCACACAAACATAACATCACAGAGATGCATGAAATGTACAGGCCACAAAGTGTTTTACCTATCAGATTTGTCAGCATCCCTAAAGAAAGCACCAAGAACTACTGCGACATTTTGTAGTTCACTTCTGAAACTGTTTCACTGTGTTTACTTTTGATCAGTAATAATAAATAGCATTGCACTTTCCTATATCTGTTTTTAATGAAAAATAGTAATAAAAACAAAGTGTTAAAAAGTAATTTTAGCTTCTTGAATATTTAATTACTATCAGGTTGAGCATGACAAGCACATCGCATGCAATAACCTTACTTTGCTGAAATATATATTTTAACAAAGATATCTGCTCTTAATTTGGTTATGTAAAACTTCAACAAAAATGTAACATTATACATTGTAAGAATTATACATTGTAAATATGTTTGGCTAGTAAATAATCAGGCAAAGAATTCCTGCATATTTTAGTCTACTTTGAAGTAACCTTCAATACTATTTCAATTACAGATATAATAACAACAAATTTAACAGTTATATTATACAGTACATAGAGCCATCTTCTGTACATAAAAGAGGGGAAAAGCACAGATTTTGCTCTTCATTTCCACAGCAAGATGATGACCTTTCCTATAAGTGGCCATGATTCACTTCAATCCAGCCCTCAAACCTGGGGCTCCTAAGGAGCAGGAGGAGCTCCTGCCTGGGTAGCTCATTCTTTCAACCAAGGACCAATTTCTCCAGCTATTTCTCTGCACCTTATACAAAATACACACGCACAGGCACTTCATCAATTTTCTTTAATTAAGGAAAATATCTGATACGAAACAAGCCTAAGTTGAGCAGCAGCTAAGGATGCCAACATAGTGATCAAGGAATCCTTCTAAGTAACACTTTATTCCTCACATCACTATGATGTATGGAAAAATATCATTGATAGGTAAAACAAAATATTTTCGTTATACTTAGAAGTATAGAATTACTCTTGAAAACATCACCAGATTTTCCCTAGTATTTCTGGAAGTTTTTCAGTAGGTTCTAGAACATCTTAAAAACACACTGTATGAGGATTTTCCCATTAAACAGGCCAATATGTAAAATTTATCACCCGTCAGAAAATTAAGGAGTTGTGTATATGCAGTGAAAAGCCCTTTAGAATCACTTCTGCTTCTATTCTGTACTCTGCAAGCAGGACAATACTCACAGTGAACTATTACAGTAATAGGATTTGGCAATAATTATTTTGTGTATGACCAAGGAAGTTTAGTTACCACTCCAATTATTACAAGAAGCTTTTGGTTTTCATAAAACTTGTTCATGTTAAAGCACCACAACAGTAAAAAGAAAGAACAGACACTCTAAGCACGACATGTATCTTTGCTTAGCTTTCGGGAAGCAATCATGCTGTGTATTTCCACAATTTTATTTCATGCTTCAGCTTACCAAGAATATATCAAACTATTCAAATTAATTAGAATAATTTAATTTACAGTAAATATTTTGAAATTTGATTAGTGGATGTCAGGCCTGGCCAGTTATCAGAGAATAGAAAATAGCTTTCCTATAAAATCAGAAAGAGACAAATTTTTGACTTTTTAATATAAATCATTAATTTTTAATTAAAAAGCAAAACTGCTTATATATTTCTAGTCAGAAGAGGCAGATTTTTTTTATTATACAAAAGGAACAAACATTCTCTAAATCTGTGCTTCAGCTTATGAGCAACTACATTCTCCGTACGGAAGGAAAGCAAAACATAGAAACCTATCAAGCTAACTTCTAAATATTTTATGTAAAATGTAACTTTTTTTTTTTTAGTCTAAGAATTCTGAAAGCAATTTAAACAGGGGCTGTTCTTTGGCCTATAATCTATTCTTTATCCGGATTACAGATCAGAATGTTTTTACTGCAATCTCTGGCAGAGCTCATCTTTTTATTGTGTACTTCCAAGCCCCCTTAATGTTTTAGAAAGGCCTTGACTAACTGAACTTTGATCTGATGTCTTCATTGAGAAAAGCTCCAGGTTGCCCATTTCAGATGCAAATCCTTACTGAGGCCCAAGAGAGTTTAGTAAAGACGGCAAAAAAGAAGAAACAAGAAGTTTCCAGGATCCTCTTTGAGAATCCTGAGGCACATTGGTGTCCTTAATCCACCCTGCTGCATGGATTAAGGTAGGTGATAACCTCTCTTGAGTCAAAAGAATAAGCACAGCGCCTACAAACTGGGTGGAGACTCGGATTTGGCTATAATAAAACACCATGCAATAAAAGCTCGGGCTATGTCAGAAGCCCATGAATAGGCCTCAGTGTCCTGCATTCCCAGGCTTAGTGGGGAAGCTTGCAAAGAGCCTACCTGAATCAAGTAAGCATGAATAATCTGCCTTAGTCGGACGGCCCCGGAGAGGGCGAAGCAGAGACTTTCCAGCCCGCTTGGGGCCGAGCGGATAAATTCACCGCGGAGTGGAGGCTCAAGGCTGCTCCTTCCCGGCTTCCTCGCTTGCACACGGAGAAATACCCGGAATTGTCAGTGAGCAGAGTGTGCTTTTAAGCTACCGTCTGCTGTTAATGTTTCTAATTGCAATCCTAATGTGCTAGAAATCTCAGATTTGGGATGAATCAAGGCAGAAAATTGATTTCATGCTGTGACAGTTTATATATTGCCCCAAGAACATAAGCAGTTCATTCAAAAAAAAATTAGTCTTGCATTGCAAAACGGGCTACCATATATCCAAAAGTTTAAGTGAAAGCATCCCTGCTACAGTTAAAAATAACAGCTGGCAGAGGCACAGCAAATATTACAGATTCCTTTTAAAGCCACTGCCTTTTTCAGATGTGAGGGGCACGCACATCTCAAGAGAAACTGTGCTAGTCTAGAAGACTAATACAGATACGACGCATAAGAATAAAAAAATTAGCTCCCCAGCAGTTCATACAAGACCTAATGAAAAGGAAGGGCATACCCTAACAAACAAAGAAAATGACTTGAATTACTTGCAAATAAAAACTAAATTAGGCGCAAAAATACTGTCAAAACAACTTTTTCTCAGCATTCCTTATTCCGAATGAAGGCAGACATTGGGCAAAAGAGTTTTCTGCTAACTTTAGTCTTCTAATTCACAAGAAAAGCTATTTTCTCCCTTCCACAGCTGAAGCTATTTGACAGTATTTTCTAAAAGCTTACTAGTTTATCAGTCCAAGGAGTTTGGAAAACATGCCTTGAGTTCTTAATGTTACAGAACTAAAAAAAATGTTTTTATGTTACAGAACTATTTGCCTAAAGAAAATTCAAAAAATAAATCACAGCTCAAGTTGTTAATTAGAAGATATTATTAAAAGTATTAAATCATCCAGACTGCTACAATGCTACATCAGATAGAATTCCTGATGGAGCATGTTCTGCAAGTAAACTAATTCAGCTAGCACCAAGATTTGATAGCTGCACTCCAAAATACTCAAAAATAATTTCAAACATTATTCACAAAGCTAGACTATTCTGAAGTTCTTTACAAGAACTTATTAATTGGATTTTTATTTGTAATTTTTTTTGAAATTTAACACACAAAAAATATTGTGCATCAAGTATTAATTACGACAATCTAAATCAGAAAGCTACATTAAAAAAGGAAGCCATCCCACAAAATATTGACCATTTTATTCTACGTTGCCCAATCTAATCTTGATAGTCAAGAGCCAAGTCAATACATATTGAAGAGAAACACTATGTTACTTAATAAAGTAATAGAGAATGAGTGCACACTTAACTGGATTACTTGTGTTTTTCTATTTTGATAGAACACCACAACAGTGTGTATTAATAGCATGCAATTGTTTCTATATCAATGTGGCAGGAATTCCATTAAGATTTTTAAAAATACGTATTTTGGGGATTGTTCAGGGTGGCCCAGTGAGCTCCACAATAATAAAATTGATGAGATTATATGATTATCCTGGAGGCTGTTTGATTTGGCATGTCATGATATATAAGTCTTTTCTGACACAACTGTATAGCCACGTCTGTGCAATTTCACAGGAAACCAAACATGCCAAGCCCTATAAGATCATTTTGTCACATTCCAATTATGTTTTTTAGGAATATGACTGAACTTACTGGGCAGTTACAACTACATCTAAATCTGAATGTAGAGAAGATTTAGGATAACATGTATAGATGCAATGAACTTTTTGTGCTGGATAGTAAAAAAAAATCCTGCAACTTGATTAAAGGTCGATTGTGCCAGTAGCTTAAATAAGTAACAGGCCCAAGGAGCTACATTAGTCACAAAACACTAACAGCTGTAAACTCTGAAAGACTGACCACTGGGCTGCTTGTTTCTTGCATTCTCCCTTCGCAGTGATTATTTTCTAGTGACAGTGACGCTGATATAATCTCAAGTGCTTACTTTAGTTGTTACGCACATGGGTAAGCAAGTCAACAGCTTGCTTCAATACCATACTTCAATACCATACTTTCACTAGAGAGCTCTAAAAAGGACTGTCAATTAAACCTGCAAATCATTTGTGTACAGCTGAATTGGGATCCAAGTTGTAAATAAGTTTGTTTTTTTTTTTTTAAACAAACTGCCCCAAATCAACACTATAACACTATTTGTTAAAAAATCCCTTGGAATGCTTTATATTTTTAAGTTATTAATGTCTATATTAAGTATCACATTTCTTGTTAACTGTTATGTTCCTCACTTCTCTGCATTTCTAGCCATCAAGCATACTGGTATACAACAATTCACCCTCAGGAGGCATTCCTGTCACCCAGTCTATTAGCAGTTCTATAGTCTACATTCTACTGACATATGCTTTACACATTTGTTTCATCTGCAGGAGAAAAACAATGAAATATCGAAATTTACCTCCATTTTTGGTAAATTTTGGTAGCGCCAGGCTATTTGCATAGAATCATCTTCAGACTTAACAGCTGCTGCTTCTTCTCCCACTTCATTTCTACAGTTATCAAGCAAGGGGGCTGGAAGCTCCTGCAGATGGAAAGGGAAAAAATGACACCTGTCTACAGAAGAAATGACAATTAAGATTTTTATTCAAAATCTGCAATGTTGATTAAGCACTGAAAAATTGTAACAGCATTTGATTAAAAAAGTGAAAGTGAGAAATATCACCTAATTATTACAGAACAAAAGGACTGCATAATCATAAGAGAAATCAATATAAAAACATAACTTCATAAATTTACATAAGCATCTTGAGCAGCAGCATCCATATTGGGTCTTTTAAAACCTTTTTTCAATAATGTGAGCCCTCAAATAATTTCTGAGAATGGCTAAGTGCCCTGCTTAATGAATCTAAGACTATTTGATAACAAGTTTATTTTATTTTGGTCAGCTTTTCCCAATCTTTTAGAAGGAGTAAATAGACCACAATACAGATACTGATAGAAAATGGTTTATGGAACGGTTTGAATTTCATCTTCTGCTGTTAGGTATGATAGCCACTAATGAACACAAAGGAGTAAAATGAAGGCACGGATATTTAATATTTTAACTGACAAAAGCTAATACAAACAATTCATACAACAGTACATTATGTATTCCTATGCACAGAGCGCTTTCTTCTTTCTACAGTGTAAATTAGTGTCTAACAGGGCAGCTGCTTCTTTCTTTCTATCAATAGCTAGTCAGTAGAAACTCCAACACAGAAGGTAATGGAGGGTATGGAAACTTCTGTGATTAATTCCATAAAGTTGTAGAAAAAAACACATTTCTGTTTCAGCAACCAAGCAGAAGACACAGACCTCACCTCTTGGGTTATTTAAGCACAAGGCAAAAGCTCATGTTTTCCCATTCAAAACAAATTTTTATTTTTAATTAGAGCAAATGAAGAAGGTAAGGATTAAAATTAACTCCTTATATTGTAAACCAGTGAAAGATGAAGATGACACTTTAGGTATTTGTTACTTTGTTTTTACTTTTGTTTTCTTCTAAGAGTACTCTTCTGCTTGCTAAAGTCTTTCATGAGAATGGTTATATACAGTTTACAAATAAATAGATGTTATATAAAGTTTCAAACACCTATAGCTGAAAAGCTGTATTTGTAAACTAAGTCAGAATACTGAGGCAGTAAAAACACAGCTTTATGGGTGAAAAACTGCAAACAGATTACTACTTAATATTTACAACTTTTAATAAATATACACAAAATGTAACATATTTCAGCAAAATACAAATCCATTTCTGTCAAAGCTTCCTTATATCTATGCAGAAAGCATGGAAACGTTCATAAAAAAGAGGATTTGTAACAGATAAGAAAAAATGAAATCAGCAAAATAATGAAAAGCTGGGAGATGGTACAAACACAAATGAGCTGACAAACTGCCACTGCATTTCACATGCATGGAAATTATTTGCACTTAGTTTGTCACTTATATAAAAGATACTTCAAAAAAAGAGAAAGACGCTATTTGGAATTTCTTTATAATTCAGATATTCTCAAAAAAGTTAATTTTGTAAAGATGTTATTTTGAAAACAAATTAACGAGTATGCACATTTAATTTCTAAATAAGGATGCTTACCGATTTAAGCTAGCTAATGAAAAGGTCTGTTTCCTCTGAAGAGTGGATAATATACCATAAGCTCAAAATACGGATCAAGTAGAGATATTAAAAACATCTTTTGTTCTTTTGATTAAAGTTCTGGAAAACAACAATTCTGTACCCCACAGTGAATTTTTGAGATGTCTCTTCCTCTCATTCTCTGAGATAAGCACACCTCAAGTAGCACCTGCAACTTTTTAGCGGTAGGCAACTCCTGTCCATCTGCAAAGCAGTAAGTGGCTGTCCCAGATAAGCCATCTAGAAGGGATCATCATTAGTGCAAATCCTGCCTAAGGATTCTTCAAGCTCCCTGAGCTTCCCACTGCCCCAGGTGCAGCCAGCAATGCAATCAGAGGCTCACCTATTGCTGCCTCTTACTGCTCTAATATCCCTGCTTAGCTATCACACCATCTGTAAAGCCCACATCCAGGAAACAGCCTATCTTACCATTTGCCTTATTGCAACTAAAGAGAAAGCACCAATATTCTCTTAAGACCCTTTAATTTTTTCCCCTCCTCTTCTAGAATCACTTCTAGTGAGTTATGCTGCTGGTTCCACTGTTGTATAATAACTGACAAAGGCAATTTTGTGACCAGGACATTTAGCTTATCAATTTGCATTCCTCCAGTCACATCAACTATTTTTTATGCTTTTACACAGACACTCTGCCCTATGCCAGAAGGGAGCAGAGGTCAACAGCAGAAGAGCTGAGGACGGTCTGTGCACACAGGTCAGCACTGCCCTGCCCCGCACACCAGCTGAGCCGGGAGCACAGCCGCGGCCAGCGCACCAAGCGGTAGCGGCTGCACCTGAAGCTGATGGTCTTTCACCTCTGGCAGAAAAGATCCCCATCTAGGTACCCATCTGTAAGAGCCTTTTGCTGAGCTAGGTTTATTTTAACTTGACATAATGATATAATTTTATTCTGACATAATAAAAGCTTTTAATAGTAGAAAATGATTGCTTAAAAATAGCTGGGGGGGGTCACACAAATTTAAGGACCACCCTGATTCAGGGCAAGGGCAGTTAGTGCATCTAGTGGCTTAGTCTTCTCTTTTGTTGCCATTTAGAACCAGACTACTATTTGTAGTCAAAAAATACACGTCCAGTCTAGGTCATACTGCAGATGCATGAGGTTGTGACCACTGAGTTTTTGTCTATACGCAGAAAATACATTCGCATGATATGCCAGGACAAGATTACTAAAATGCCTAAAAGTTGCTTCAAATATTTCATTCAGAATTTGAAAAGCATCTGTGATTAAAAAAGTAATCTTTTTTCAGCCCGTAATATCTCCAACTTACTTCTGCTTAAAAATATTTCAGCTCCAGTATAATACAGCTCTGAAAAGCTTTGGGATTGTCATGTTTTTGGTATCAGTGTCACCTTCTAAAGCCTCTCACATTCTCCTACATTAAAAAGACAAAACATTCATAAAGTATACAGAATAACAAAGCACACAGCAGTGCATTAAAGCACACAGCATTTCTGAGAGTCAAGTAAAATCCAAGTCTTAGCTATGCAGCATGAAAACACACACAAAAATGCAGATAGGTGCTAGAGTTGAAGTGCAGAGGTTTTTTTTTTTTTTTTGGAGAGTCTGTATGCAGAGTGAGATGGATTAAAAATGAACAAACATCTGCTGCTTTTTTTTTTTTTAAATGAAAAATAGTCATTTCCTCCCAAAAAAAGACACTTTTTCCAAAGCCCTGGTACCATATTTACAGTTCAATAAAAATCTTTTTTTTTTCCCCAACAATCCAACCCTCAGAGTGCTTTATCAGGCCTATGAAATAATTTATATAAATAAATCTCTTCCCTGGTAATGAAAATGTGCCCAGCCCCTATGTGCTGCATATGAAGGCCTCTCCGCGCCCGCCGCCGCATTACTTGGCTTGCTTTGTTTTGGCAGATGCACTAGGCAAAACCAGAGTCTAACAGTTTGACCTCTCTCACTTCTTATATTCTCTAGGGGATAATAAAATCCCAGATACAATCCCACAACAGTTAATGAAGCTTAACCTCACACCCTCTTAATTACCAATGCATTACACCAGCTATAGGAATCATACTCCTCTCAAAGCTATTTTACAATGCTAAAGAAGGACTACTGTGCTATTCTTTAGCAACATAATCCAAGCTGTATATGAAATCCCTCTCAAATGAAATCCTTTGATCCTTAAGGGTTTTGATAACAGCATAATTAATAGTACTTAAGAATTTTAAACTATTTATGTAGCAATAAATATTTTGCTCACATGGTTTTGTGCAAGCACAATTTTCACAGTTATGATTAAAGACACATGGAAAATAAGGAAAATATTAACAGGAATATAATGCACTGTTGAGCTTTAAGTGCACTAATATTGAAGTAATTTAAATTCACACAATTTTAAGTCCTTTTCTTCATTATGTTAATTTTTAGTATTTAAAGGACACCAGATGGTAAGCCAGGAAGAGTAAATACCTTCTTTTCAATAACGTATTATATAAAGTTCAGTTTAAAAGACTCTGCTCCCAAAAGGGAGGGATGGTGGTTTTGGTTGTATGTTTGGATCCAAGACACAGGCTATTGCTGAAAAACACAAATGCCTGGTTGTCCTTGCACAATGTTTTCTTCCCATCTCCAGGTAAGATTCTCAGTTCTACTCCAATTTTTCATTGATATTCAAAAGTACTGAATGGGTGTCAAACCACGATCAGTTAGAAATGTGCAGAGAAAGGGAAATAAATTTCTGTTTTATGATACGAAGAAAGCTGAAACAAATTTTTCCAAGTAACTACATTTTCTAAAAATTGAAAAAAGATATTCTCCTCTTAACGTATGTACAAGTAAAGACTGTGGTCAAATCATACTATTAGTTTTTCTAACTGCCTCCCATCGAGATTTTTTATAACTACAAACTAAGAACGTATGATAGAAGTTTAGATAATACCTTTTTTACTTCATCATATTCTAGATCAGCCCATGAATCCTTAGGTAAGTAAAAAAGACAACAAAGAGGAGTGATACAGGGAGATAAGGAATGTGAAGAACATAGATAAGGATGCTGAAAATATTCATGTCTGAAATTCTGTAAACTCTGCCCACAATATATACTGCACTAGCCTAAACAGATCTAGGTGACATCAAAAAAGATTATTCATGAGCAAATTTAGACATGAGCACTGTAAGCTCACTCAGTCACCAGCACTATAGGTCAACTGAACAAACCAATTTGCAAAATCATGAAGTAGACTTGTAAAACTGTTATTTCTCCACAGAGAAATCTAAGCTTCTTGAGTAAATTACTAATTTCATTTTTATGGTATACTTAATAGGCTATTTAAGATTTCGGTTTAAAACCCAACACATCATAATTAATTACGGAAAAACGTTCTAATAAACAGCCATGTAAGTTATAAACCTACAATTTAAGGTAGATTTCCACTACATATGAAAAAAATCTTTCAATTACATTGGTCTGAACAACTGACAAAGTCCAAATACTACACTTCCAAATTCTCAGCAGTTCTGTTCAAAACATCTTTTTAAGCCCAAGCGTTCTGGCATCAATATTCTTCTGCATCCATGCATCTAGTGCATCAAGCATGCAACAGCTTTAAGAAATCTTGTAATGTAGAAAATTACAATTAATCTTTTTATATTGATATATTTATATTTTAATATATAAAAATGTGAGATAGATAGTCTACCTACTTAACACAGAAGCAAGAAAATGAAACAGGTGTAGGATCTATAATAAAGAAATTAAATTTTACTAAGGAGCTTCTCAAACCTGAAGGCAACTGCAGGACTGTACCTCTCCCAAGTTTCAAAATTGTATTTGAAGAAAATAGGTGATAAAATTTTTGTACTTGAACCCTAACCTTTATGTCAAAAGGTTATCTTTACTTCAGAGATGCTGAAAAAGGGAGAAAAATTCACTATGTTGCACCTGCACGGCTTTGAGTGGCTCCGCTTAACATCATGCAACTGCATGCATGAGCAACTGGCTCTTGTGATAAACTTATTTATTTTGCACATATGATCAGCCTTTAGGAACAAAATTACAGATTTAACATGGTATTAGATATTAGCAACAGTAGCTGATTCAGAAAGGACAAAGAGTTGATTTTCATCTTGTTGCTAGAAAACTAAAACAGCTTGGTGGGAAAAGGCAGAAAGGGCAACGAGCTCTAGCATCTCCAGGGCCAGGCCAAGGCACTTGAGCACAGGGCTTTAGCCACTCTTTCTCTACCCGATACAACTGGCACCCTTGAAGGGCTGTGATCCCAGCTCCTGTTGTCAGAACAGACATACATCAAGCAGCTCTGCCTATAACCATGGATTTGCTAGGCCCCTCTTTCCAGCTGCATCTGGGACTGCTCTGAAGCCAAACAGCCTGCAAACACACCATAAAGCCTTTAAGACAAAGACAGAGGACTAAAGTCTGCGAAAAACTTCAGTTTATCCTGAGGAGGAAGCAGTGTTTGAAACACAAACAGCCCCATGCAAACAAAAACAACAAATCACAGCCAAACAACAGGTGAAGCAAACACAAAGCAAGCTACCTTGGCTAGCAACACCCCACCTGGACAGTATGCACATCCTTCCTTTACTGGCATAAACCACAGAAGTACTAAACTGCACATCTGAACAGGAAAAATGGCCAGAAAAACTCCAAAGTACAGGCAGGTAGTTGAGGGCAGTTTTGTTCCTTCCTTTGTATACAAAGACACACACCAGAGGCATATACCAACACTCAAGGCAGAAGAGCAAGCAGCTTAAGTTCCTGCGCTGCCAACACTTTCAGTACGAAACAACACCGGCAAAGATACTCCTAATTTAGAAGTTGCCCACAGTGGCACACTGGTTCTGCAGAAGGTATCCAGCTGGCTCCATGCTACAAAGGCTCGAATTTGCCTGTTTATCCTGAGACCACTTTTTCTGTATGGAATAAGGCAAAGGCACGGAGTAAGCCCCATTCAGGAGCGCCAGTGTGAGCACTCGCAGCCTCCGGGTACGCGGCGCTTTCCTGTTTCTCAGCAGAGCAGGGCCTGCCGCAGGGCAACACTCGGGCACCAACAATTCAACCGCATTTTTCTGAATAGTTTACTTTTGAAGTCCCATTTTCCCCGTAACAAATATACCCATATACTCATACGTCCCATTCTAACCACATACATTATGGGCAACTTCAAAATAGCTGGCAGTAAGAGTGCTGAATTATATCAAAAATGGAGCCTGTAAACACAATGAACTTAGGAAAATAGATAAAAGAAACAAACCTATTTGATTAATATCTCTTTTTTTCTGCATGAAGACATAATCATTCCTCTTAATTTTAAATTTAGGTAAAATCTTAGCATATTCAACAGCAATCCTTTAAAAGGACTGAAGGAAATATTTTTTTCATTTTCCAATGTATTTTTTAAATCATCTGTCACAGAAATATCATACTATTTCTTATATTAAACCATTCCCAGAATTTACAGCAAAAGCTGCCCTTTGTTGAAGAACATAGCTTGAACAGAAATGCTCTGGAATGTTTAAAATACTTCTCAAAACCAGCATGTATATAGTAGGATTTACCAGAGATGTATAATTTTTCAGCATTACGTCCTAATGCCAACTTCCTGAAGGAGCTTTGACTACAAAAGGCATGAATATGTTTTCAAAGGATGATGGATAAATTGGTGGGTGGTAATATAATATATCTTAGGCAGCTGATCTGGGCTTTTTATCCTCTACTTGTCTTCTAGTTATACACAATTTCAAGATAATTATGGTCTATAAGATTGTCTTTTCCCCTTCCTACTACCAGCAATATTTGTCTTGGTTACAGGTTCAAGAAACTTCAAATCACATGATAAAATTAGAATAGGGCAATTATGGCATCTCAGCAGAGAAATGGATGTATGAATAGTGACCACACAATGAGGACATAAGGTAGCTTAAACCTGATTTATAATAATAGTTAATTACAATACTAATTATAGAATATATTGATTCCTTTTTTTAAGAGAAAAGTGTAACATTAAAAATGTCATTCAAGATTGATACAGACTAAATCATATTGCCTTTCTAGTGAAGAATACAGTCCAGGCAAGTATTGGCAGGAAATTAATTCATATTCACACAAACACAACGGCATTCCAAGGTCAGACTTAGTGGATATACCTAAATTGTGAGCAGCAATGTTTTATCACAGGAAATGATCTCTTGATGAAGTGCTTGAAGGTCCTCTCTTTTAGAAGGCAGGCTTGGAAAAATTCATCTACATCTGTGCTTTGGAGATCTATGCCCAAAGCTAGTCTTAGGTCAACTTCCAGGTGAGGCAGACAACCCATATTTGCTTTTCTAAAGGTGCCCAAGCTTCTAAATGTGAAATTCCATATTTTCCTATATTGATGTTAAACATATGATGTTAAATGCTTTCACCAAAACAAGGTAATTTCAAGAAATGGGAGCAATTAATTTTATTGTATCTTTCCTATTAAGCAGAGTAGTAGTGAACAATCAAGGCAAGAGCTGAACAGCATAGTGCTGTTGGATACATGAACACACAAACTGAAGAAAAAAACAAGACAAAGTTATATTCTCTTAACTTTTCTGTGGTAATATTATCTTTATATAATCTTTTATTAACTGCAATATGAAGTTACAACAGAGGAATGCAGTAGAGGCTTACCTAGCGGCTACCCTTAAAAAAAAAAAGGAAAGCTTATTCTAAACTGGATGAAATGGTATAGAAAGGATGTAGCTATGTAATGTCTGTTCATTAACTTGGAAAAGCATAATCAATAGGAGCTTGAAAAAATATGCCATACTATGAGCTATTGAGTCTAAAGGGGATGAAAGCAGAATAAAACACACATGCTAGACATTTTTAGGTATTTTTGCTCTTTCCAGACTTCACAAATTCTAACATACTTATGCTACATTCTAAAACAAATGATAAAAATTCCATCCCTAGATAAATACTCTTTAGATTTAACATCATTACAGAAACCATTAGATTCGTCATAACCACAGTGGAATCTTTTCATTTAGAATACATCTTTTTTCCTAAATACTTCAGATAATACTAAATAGACAAGGCACAGAATCTAGCATCACTAGGTAGAGATAAAAAGTAATCCAGAAACACAGCGTCTCTGAAGACTCTTAAGCAAATAAGCAGACTTCACTTGATGCAGAACTAATCGGTAAATTATATGTTACTTCTGATATTAGAAAAAAGCAGTCTTAGAAAGACATAAAATATTTAATGAAGTTTGGTAAGATTATCCTTGCACTTCAGCATTTTTTGCAGTGTTGATCAGGCCTTTTCTCCCTTAAAATTGTTTCCTTGCAATGGAAGCTATCAGTGTTTGATTAGAAGCTTGCTGAAGTCTGAGAGGATCCTTTCTATATGGCCTACCTCATTCTGGCAGTCGGATCGAAAAGTTCATGTAGAGGAAGCTGTACTTAAAAATTTTAAATTTAATTCTCCATTCCTATATCTAGCTACAAGGAATATACACACAAGCTAAACTATTTCCCTTCCCTTCTCCCCGCCCCCAGTATGTTAAAAACATCTTAACTACTCTTTTAGGTGGAAAATGTGAGAAGATAGCTTTAATCAAACCATCCAATTTAGCCATCCAATCTGCCTGGATGGTTTTCGGAATCAAAATCAAGGATAAGTTGGATTCTACTCTGATGTCCCTAGGGACATCACTGTCTACAGAGGGAGGCTAAATATAATCCCCAAATCTGGCTAATGTAAATACTCCAGCCCTTCCCAGCGTCTTCTTGTGAATCACCAAGATAACCCATTTACTACTATACAACATGTACATCTTAAAACATATTTATCAATAGATTACAGCTTTACTTGTCAAAACATATTAGTCTTTACCTTCAAGATGCTGGTAGGAAGCTCTTTTGCAGAAGCAACAAACAAGTCATGTCCACAAACAACCCCCTCTGCAAGAAAATACTTGAACAACAAATGGGAGTAAACACCATATTTATCTTCCTCTGTGGAAACAAGAATGGTTAGTTTTTTTTATTAGTTAAAATATTTACATGCAAACTTTTGTCCTCTTAAAGCCCTCATAAAAGCCCTCTTTTCATGCACCTCCTCACCAATTATATAATGTAAAACATAATTAAATAGTTAAACATGAATTTAAATGTAATGATCAATAATACTGCTACTCTTTCAAGATAGAGAAATAATCTTCAATCATGTGTGATTTAAGATACAGATTGGTTATAGACCCAAGGTAGCAATAATGCCTCCTCCAGTAACCAGGTTATCCACAGAATTAACCAAGACTATCTAAATCATGATTTCATAGGAAGCTTTGTTTCATTTGAGAGAATTGTGTTACAAGTTAATTGTTCATGTTTAAAACAGTATCAACAATTAAAATTGATTCTGATTTTTTCAAACTAACCAAGTAAAATAGTATTTATTAAAAATTTCCCCTTCATTAAGTTCAAGAAAACAAATTTCATTCCTTTTAGGAGACAACCATAACACAAATGTTTGAAAAAATAAATCTGCTAAAAGTGACTCTGAAGCACTATTTTGACAGAGACAGCTTTTGAAATAGGGAAAGAAAGGAATCACAAGGCAGTAGCTAAGGCAGAAGGTGACAGAGAGCTTGACACCCAAATAAGCCCAAGGGAACAAAATAACTAGAACACTAGCACATGCTAGCTTTGTGATATGACTGCAATAGATGATAATTTAAAAAGAGAAAGTCCAGTGAAAAACATGGAAAGCAGCCAATGTAGTGAAAAGTGTCATGCAGACAAATACCTACTTTTGACAGAGTTGGGTTCTTAAAGTTCCAGCAAGACAGATTTTGAACAGCACTTTTTGAACAGTGTTTCCCTTTGAGTGCCCTTAATTAAATGTTTTATATAACGTACCCTAAGAAGCATATAAAGCCATCAATATCATTTGAAAAAAAACGTCTTCCTAGTAAGCCAGCTCCACAGCATAGTGACTGTGGATGCAGACCCATGTGTATGACTAGCCAGAGAGCACTTCTCCCTCATAGCCAGAGTGCAGGAACTATACACTGCTTCATATACTTCTCCCCCTGCTCCCCACCCTTGCCCATATGTTGTCTCTCTCCAGCTATGTGTGCTTTTGTTGCTTATTGCAATAGAACTGATTATGCAGCATATTGACTTCCATGTGCTAATCTCCACCTATGAAGCTCTCAGCCTAAGAGTAAAGCTTCCCAGAAATCAAAGTGACAGCATGATAGCTACTTATTAAAAAAGAGAGAAGTCTGAGCTACCTGAAAGAAGTCATCAAGCCTCCCATATAATCACATCACTGCAGCAGATGTCAGGGGAGGTGATACAGTTAGACCTCCCTCCCTTAGAGCAAAGCGGGGAATGGAACACTAGGAAGGCATTCCAGAAGGATCCTCAGCCACATTTACTTCATCCTTGGGGAAGCAAAAACCTGGATTCATTAATTTTCACTTACACAGTACAGTCCACCTTTTTTTCCAAATTTGGGACACAAACACTGAGTGGGATTGATCTAAATAGCCCCTAGATTTAGCTCACATTTAGTGAGGCATAGCTCAATATCGCATTTTGCCTAGGTAGTTGTTACACACATCATTGCATGAATGTGTCTTTTCTGTATCATTTTTAGTATTAATTATTCCTTTGACAGTGAACAATATGCTCAGTTTTGTGCTAATAACTCTATAAGGCTATTAATAAATCATAAATATTAAAAATACAGTGTACATTATGATAATGTAATTATACTAAGAGGAACTGAGGCTGCTAAGTGCATTAGGAATTTTTACTCAAAAATTTTGAATTTTGGCAAAGAAAAAGAACATTTACCAGTGTTTGAAAACAATTTTGTGTTAGCCTTTCCTTTAGTCTTCTTGCATTTAATTTCACAATAGTAAACAAAGAAAAAACTACTGGAGAGTAATCTAAATATTAGACACCCTTTAGACTGCTACAGTACTCAAAAGAATTAAATGCATCTCAGAAAAGGCTTTGCAAACAATGTATCTTGAATTGTTGAAGTCAATGCATCTGTAAGAATCCCTCAGTTCTTCAATTTGTCACATAGAGGATGGCCTTTTATTGATTCATTTCTAGGTCACTAAACTTTTGTAGTGTTCTAAAGATCTAAAGTGCACCCATACGGGGTTTTCTGACAATGTCCATTGTACCCTGGCTTCAATAGTTATGTTGCTATTCAAAACCATAGAAGTACAGCTTTCCTTTTTGTAAATAAGTAATTTAACACAGGTATTTCAGTAATTTACCATTACTTTCATATATAAATCAAAATATTGAAGTATTTCTGTTTTCTGATAACTTCTGATATCTATTTTAGTGGTTAAGTATCACTTATCTTTCCTCTTCCAAATTGTACCTATATCTAGAAACTACTTCCACTCTGTACTCTGTTAGTACAGACTAACATTTGAGCGCATTTTATTCAGCTAAGATAGCCCCCAAATCTTTATTATTAGCCTCAATACTAAGCAGGTCTCCCACCAGAAGCTGTCATTGTGAACTTTGCTTCTAACTAATAAAGCACACAAACATACAGGAATCTTGCAGCTGCAGTTTCTTTTCTGAGTCCAATCACTGCAAGTCAGACAACAGTCCCCAGCTTTCTCCAATTCTCTCTGAACAAAGAGTATTTCTACAGCTAAGTAGCAGGTGAGTAACTAGCCAAGCGTAAAACTATACATGCTAAAGAGATTATTTACCTACAAGTTATGCATATTGTCTCCAGAACAAAACCTTTTCTGATGCTATAGATGAGGACAGAGCTAAAATAGTTTATTGTGACTATTATCCATTGGGCTCTTTCCACTAGAGACTGCTCTGATGGCCAAAACAGTCATGAAGAAAATGCAGTGTTGTCAGTATCAGTGTAATGAATTCCAACATATAGCCGTGCTGAAAGCTAGGAATAAAGACCTATTTCTAATGCAGCCTCTCCACACCCCTGTGCTCTATAGGCTACTGAATGCATAAGAGACCTTTGAATACCTTTGTGATTCAATTGTCCAGCAGAACCACTGACAGAAATCAGCAGGTCATGAAGTTAAACACCTGGAGCACAGAGACACCGGATACAAGTGAGGCACTCTATATATTGTAAAGGGCACAATTCTCCTGGAGTCCTGGAAATTTAGGTCTAAACATATGGTCTTAAGAATGAAAGAACCTCTAACCATAACTGCTCCGCCATGCAGCAGAGGTATTTGTGCTTCCAAGGCAGCAATATGGAAAGAAAAACACAAACTTGAAAAGGAACAACAGCTCAAGAAGAAAAATGACCATAAAGCAACAAATATGCACCAATTATTTATAGAAGGGTGTTCATCTGCATAATATTAAATATCTTGCAGGACCTTGAAAAACTCCAAGGTAACTTGTAAAATAATTAAAATTATGAGAGCCATAGGAGGAAGAGTTAAGACCGCAACAATATAATGGTAGAGAGTATTCTTTCCTTCTGCAAGCTCTAGTCAGGTTGCTCTAATGCTGCCAAAAGCCTGTCACAGCCTATGAGTATTGATTGTTATTTTGCAAGATAGCTCTACAGTATAAACCTGTGACCTAAGGTGAGTCTTTCTTTAGCTATGAAGATTCTCTACAAATTGCTGCAGGTTAAAAAAGTGATTATTTTAATAATCTGAAATTCCAGTTCTAAGATACTTTCTAATGTCCACATTTACTAAGCTTGAGGGAATTCAGTCTGTGTCACTTGCATTTAATTAGTACATGCCAAAACAGAGTTGTCAAACATATATGGTACAATATTTGGCATTTGGCCATACTTCAGGAAGGTGAATTCTGATAAGTTGTATTTTGTATAATTATATTTAGCAAATCACTGTTTTGTACCTCTCCAGAGATTATCTTTTTCAACTTTAAAAAGATGATAAAAGTCAATTACATTGACATGCAAAGAGAGCTCTTACCAGTCAGGTTAAATTGCACTTCTAGCAAAAATAATAGTAGCTAATTAAAGTAGCTGAAAGAGCTTTGAGGCTTAGAGTACACAAGTATAGGCAAGCTTTCAACCAAACAAGTTTAACTTTCTATAATTGACCCCAGCTACTAACATAAACCCAGGTACTGATAACCTTTGAAACTTTCAGCCATCAAAGAACAGCACCTTAAAGGCATGTAAGAAGAGACCCAACACAGAGCTTCCTGCAAGTCACTATACAGAATGTATTACATAAACACAGCTTTTTTTTTTTTCTTTTTTAATAAAACACAGCACCATTATTCTAGAAATTTCTCCTGAAGGTGGCAAAACAGACATACAAGTGTGTTTAAGTATGCTGCAAGCAGACAAGGGGGAAAGCTGTGCTTAATCAGCAGCTAGGGTTTTTGTTTTTAATGAAAGAAGAGATTCTTGACAAACTCATCTTCTGAAGGAGTTTAGATGAAGCAAACTCATACTTATGTTGCATAAACTATTTCAGCAGTGTTATCAAAATCTCCTTTCATTCAAGTATAAATGTTAGCTTCACTTTTTTAAACCAGAAGAGCAATACCTCTTGAAATTAAAGTACCAATAAGAAAATCTCTATGTATCACGTAAATAAAATACTACCAAAAGAGTATTGTACAATGAAGTTCATTGGAAACCACAATGCCTTTATTTCAGACTAAAATTCAAAGTTTGTGTACTATATTTCAAACACTACTTTACAGTGTTAGCAAGGAATCTATGCCTACTGCACCTCCAGAAAACAGCAGTCAAAACTAAATATTTGAATGCCCTGTATTTATTACCATCGGTAAAATTAACCAAGATAACATGTCAAATAATGAAGATGACCATTTAATTTGCAAGGGAAGCTGATCTGCATTTATTCTTGCCTTAGAGAATATTAAAAAGAGGGGAAAGAATTTAACCTTTTTCCAACACTTTGAGTATAAAGCAGAAAGATCTTCCTAGGAGGTTTATCGTTGACAGCTTCAATCCTGTTTAATATTAAGCTTGTCGAGACTAATCTCATGACAGGATTTTTTAGTATATTGACAAGATATTCTAACAATGCAGTTATAATTCTACCTGCACCAACTTTAAAAATTACTCTAAAAGTTTTCAGACTAGTGAGTCATGAATAAATATAGCTCATACTTTAAGACCTTTTGTATCAAATTGTATGTTTCAAAATAACATATGGAAAGGTTAATTTTGGGGAAAAAAATAGTTTTGCATCAACATAGATTCTCCGCTATGTTTCTAGAAGCCAAATTTATTACCAATTCACAAACAAATATATTCCTTTTGAGTATTAAATTGTGTTTGTGTCACCGCACATCTTCATTTAAGAAAATTCCATGCCCCTTCCAAAATGTCTGAGACTTAGGAAACTGTTTTAATAATAGACACACTAAACTAAGTTGTTCACTATTGATATCAAGAAAGATCTGATTAATCATATTAGTTTCTTTGAATTTATTCTGAAGAGGATAATGACAAAGGAAGAGTCAAAGGCTTATTTTCTTACAATTTGGCACATCTTACGTTAGATAAAAAGGAAAGCTGGGGATCCCTGCTGCAAAGGGGATGTGGTAGAGCTCAAAAAAACTCTACCAAACAGTTCTGATGCAGTCTGTGAAGGGAACTCTTGTGTGACTTACTTAACCATCTCAGCCTGCCTCATCCATATCAGACGGAAAGCACATTTCTAGTATTTTTTTCTTAACCAATTCTGAAAACAAGAGTAAAGGACCGCACTTTTCACGTCTTCCTCAGAAAGCCAATTTTCTTTAAAAAGTATGTGTGATGATAAACAGAAGTCAACAAGAAACAGTCATTTAGAAAAACCTTGGATCTTTTTAAAAACACCTGTAAAAGGTTCTGAACTTTGCTAAGCATCCTTTCAGACAGGATTCTGCAGTATTATTTTGGGCAAACCTCTCTAACAGCAGATCCATATCCTATAATTCTTGAAATACAGAATAACCAAACTGAGGAAGCCTGAAAGTCATACTTTCCTCAAGTCTGAGTTTAATAGACAAAAGCAACAGAACATTTAATAAATACATTTAAAATCAGTAAACCATGTCAGCATACAGCTTTATGTATTTGTATATTCCATACTAACCAATAAGGAGAAGAGTTCCAACAGCTAAACCTCCACCTGGGAACAAAATAAAACGAAGAATAAAGTAAGACTACATTTTAACACTATGTTAGAGAACATTAAGTTTTCTTAGTTTATAAGTCAAAGAAAGGTGATAACAGGGAATTTAAAAATGTAAACGTGAACAACATTTTAATTACCTTTGCAATACTTCCTACAATTCTCTATTATGAAATAATTACACATTACATGTAATTATATATTACACATTACAATTAGTTTCACAAAATACTGTACTATCATCGTTATGGTAAAAAGATCCTGCAGAGCTCTACACAACTATACTTGAGTACCGCAATAATGATGCATGGTCTGAGCCAGAGATTTTTTTACTTGGATGACTCAAGTGAGTAAACATTTTTCAAATGAAATTCACATTAATCACTACCATTTGATGCTGCTTTGCACCAGGAACCATCTATGTAAAGTAACAATGAAGCTAACAAATTCCCACTGAAGCCAGTCAGAAAAAAAAACTCATTCCACTGTTTATTTTATTACTGAAAAAGAGCATGATAATAAGGCAGGTAGGATTTTAGTCAATGAAAGTTCATGAATATCATAACACAAATCAGGAAAAAAAGTCTTTTTGTTATGTCTCAGACAGAAATTTCTCTATAAATTCAGTTGATGGAAATAATTATTTAATAAGAATATTTTGACTGATTTAACCATGGTCATGACACTAAGCAATCTTTATGTACCAAGGACAGAAGGGGACTAGAATGATCCCAATAATACAGATTCTTAACCCATTGATCTCAGGTTGAATGACCTAAAAACAATCAAAACCAACTATGAACACAGGTTCTTTGCTAAAATGTGACTTATCTGAAGAGAAAACTAGTACATAAAAGTGCAATTTAAGTGGTCATAAATGACTGCTATCTTAAGAGGGAATTTAACAGAGAAGGTCAAGGAAGAATTCATGTTCTACACTTCAGGTGAACAGTAAGCTATTCTGAAATCTGAACTCAAGTTAGAAAACATTAGAATAACCTAAAAGCAGACTAGAAATACTTTACTGAACCATGAAGGAAAATTCCCCCCCAAATTCAGGAAGTGCTCAGATGCATTAAGTATCTATTGCAATGCTTTGCATGCAAAAAGATGCAGTATATTTTCTGCTTAAATATGCTCCAAAAGAGAGTTTGGAACAAGCAGTATCACACAAGTATCATAATGTCCAAAGCTTTTGACAAAAAAAGCTCAATTCTGGATTGCACAGGCAAACTCGAGCAAAAGGGGTAATTCAGCCTATCAATTTAAAAGCTCATTAAACTTCACTTGAAATTGATTCCAATAGGGATTGGATCAATTTCTTATTCTTTAGCTCTGCTGGTGGGACCATGAATATCTGTAGCACCTGTGAAGTTGATAGACACCCAGAAGGAAGAGACAAAGCAAATTACTCTCCCACAGGCCAAACAAATGTCAAAGGACTAACTACAGCAGTCTTCCTTTTGATCAAGAGGCAAATAATTCTGCATTCACCATTAATCTATGAAAACATATTTTGAGCTCCTTAATGTCTAAACTGATGAGTAGCAACTCAGCATATACTAATAAATGATAAAGATAAATTTGAAATGCCACATAAAGTTAGAAACTGTTTATGGAAGAATTTCTAGTCATTTTCAATGTACTTTATGAGCACTTATTAGTGTCATAAGAGAACCTAGATATTACAGATTAATAGCACAACAGGATCTGCTGCCTGGCAGAAAAAGGCAAATACTGGACCACGCATAAACAAGTTGCACAGAAAGCAGACAACACTGAGCCCTAAAGGTTGTAACGCCAATACTTCACTAAAACTACTTCAGTGTGACCTGCAAATCCTACTTAATGATTAGCCAAACTTGAAGATGAATTTGCAGTTTCATGTTAAGCTGCAACATGCAACATAAAATACTCTAGCTGGTCATCTTGTACCCTCTAATATTTTCTGTTAAAAAGAGGGGGAAAAAAAGAATCAAGTCCCAGGCCACAAGCACTCTGTGCACTGCAAGCCCACACAGACCGATGCATCAAGACACTTTTACTTGCATTGGTAAGGACAGATGGGGCAACAGCATGTCTAGAGCAATCACAGGGCTTCAGGAGCCACAAAAAGTGATAATACTGTTGCATCATGATGCCTCAATTCAGAACACAACAGAATCACTTTGTCATCATGTCATGATGCTAGCACAATTTCAGTAGCACATCACGATGCAAATGTTTAGTCAGCAACTAAATTAATGTTTGTATCTCAGCGCATCACAGATGTCAAACTAGAGCCCTGAGTCTAGATTCAAAACTCCTGAATATTTTTGACAAGCTTAAGTAATCAGGTGGTTCTTTAATACTTAACAAAGATGAGTATTGTTTATTAGAAAATCAGAATAATTCAATCTCAATATTCTGAATACACCAACTTTTGCTTCATTTTATACGATCTGGAAGGAAAGAGGAAAAAAGCAACCAAAACAACTTTTACTGGGAAGGAGGAAAAGAAGACAACAATAATAATAATACCATATAGATGGTAGACACAATTATGCTTCAAATATGCACTGCAATTGTTTGGGGAGATGGAACGTATATGTTACTAGGAGCAGTTGTTTAAAGTAGGTACATGTTCTACGCAGAAAATAGAAGAGCCTAAAATGATCTTACCAAAACATAGCTAGATATAGAAAAAATATTACTCCCTGCAATAATAATTTAAAATCTTTATGATAAGACTATTTATAGATTCACTGTTTCATCTTTAAGTAGCTTATACAAGAAAGCATTCCTTTGACCAACAATATAAAATCTGTCAAAATTCTAACAATATTTTGATCAAAAAGCTCTGCCTCTTTGTACAAGCCAGAGTAATAATATATGTACATACACCCTAGATGCTGGACTAGAATCCTAGAGGACTAGTTGAACTGAAATGCAAACAAACGTATTATTAGACAAAAAGTAAAACTATTAGTCACCACAGTTACATCTTTTTAAATAGCAATAATAAAAACACTACTATGGTAAAATAGATAGGAAGCAGATCACAGGGAAGAGGAAAGTCACTAAGTCGAAGGAACACTTAAAAACTTCCAGGTTTTCTAAGGCAACTTCTGTGAACTTTAATTCTTTGATTCTCTCTTTAACTTCAGCTTCTGTTTGCCAGCAAATAAACAACCCCAAATGTAAACAACTAAGCAAGGTTCCTAACTCTGCTACTTGACAGCAGTGCCATTTAAGACTTTACAAAAAAGAACACAGCAAATGTAGATATGTAGATACCTGACAGAAAAGCCTCAAGTCATAACACTACCTACTGCTTTCACAGCAAGCATTCAGAAGGACTGGACATTATGTTTCTGAAAATAGCAGTTCTTTGCAATATCGTACTCAAAATTCCTACTTACATTATCTCCACATCACTCTAAACACATTTTACCATCACAGGAAGAGCAAACTATTGGACCTATCTGTTGGACTGCAAAGGACAATGAGATCACTAACCTAAGTCAAAATATTTTAAGTACAAAGAATAATATTGATTCTCAGTATATGTTCACAGCCAGTTTGCATCTGTATAATCTGAAAAAAGCATCTTTGTCACCTTTAACTGCTTGCTATGCAAAATTCAATACTAAACCTACGATGCTTTCATTACACAAAAGTTACAGCTCATAAGAGAGCTGCTTTGGCTCAAACCAGACATACGGCCCATAAGTCTTGAAACTAGACTTGAACGTAAAGTCAGGGATGCAAAGAGTGTCTAAGCGACAGCCCAGGATATGAAATCAAGTACTTCTCCCCTGCTTATTTTTGAAGAAAGATGTTTTTATTAACAGATAGCTATGACCACTAATCAGACAATTCAACAACTGAAAAGCAGTAGGTGAAAAATTCCTTTACACTCTTCTCCTCACTATAAAATCTCTCCTTAGTCCTGTCTCAAATAACTTGATTTTTCCAATACCCACAAATAATACTATATCTCATGCTATATCTTGTTGTTTCTGGACAAGGCAAACCAAAAAACAAGCGCAAATCATGAGGGCTAGATCATGCCTGGTATACCAGGTTAAAACAGGTCATACCAACTCCCACTGAGTTTGTAACAAAAGCTTATTTTTGTGTATGAAAAACAGAGTATTTCATACATTCAAATACTTAACCGCTAGTGGGAAAGGTGGGGTGAAAAACAGCATTCTTGAAAAAAAACCACAAAACAGCATTCTGCAAGATATTTACGAAGCACTTCCCCCCACACACACATTCACTCTAAAAAAAGGAGCAAGATAAGGGCAAGACAAGCACCCGGGCTAATATTTCTGTATTCACCAGCATATGGGCTGTATCAATAAGTGTGTTCACCTTCAATCAACACTCATTGGATCCCACCTGCTCTAAAGAGTTTTAGCCTGCCATCACACAAGAGACAATAAACTTGTGCAAATTCAGCAGTTCAGCTGAGGGCCACAGAAATGGGGCTAGAGCACGTGACCTAAGAAAAACAGCTGAAGGATCTGAGCTCATTTGGCCTAGGGAGGAGAGGATCAAGCAATGCTTTATACCAGACATTTGTGGTCTAGGGGACTGTATGTTCACTGCCTACCTCCTCAAGCTCCAAAAATCAGTTTAAGAGCCAGGAGGTTACTCAAGATTTAACATAAGAGTACAGAAGGGCACCACAAGGATGCAGGGTTTACCAAAAGTTGTTTCCCCAATGCTCATTAGTAATCACTAATTATGTTAGTAAGTGCCTGAAGAGTTAGGAGACTGGCACCATGGAGAGCTCTCCACATCCCATGACAGGCAAAATCCCCAGTTTAACAAACAGAGTATCAGTAAAAACTAGACTACTGAATTAAAATATGTTTGTGCGGTCAAAGGGTTCCACAAACTACCAATACCTAATGAAATACATCTTCCCTACTGAAGAAAAGTTTTCTCCATAAGAATGCCAGTCCCTCATAGATGTTTTCTCTTCCCTGTCAACATAATACACTTACAACAAAGTAAAGAAGTGTGATTCTCCTTAAGATACCCAGGCCATAAACTTTAATTTTTTTGAAGAAATGTATATATTTTTAGTTACCAATCAAATACATTCCTTAAAAAAAAATAAGAAAAATATAAAAAATAAGAAAAATAGGATTAAACAGAGCTTTATTTAGGGACAAAAAATAACAGACCAAGTCAAACTGACTTCTAAACTAAGAAAAAAAAAATCAAACTGGACTAACTCATATTAACATGATACATACTAAGTCCTGATATAGTTGCAGTAACAGGCTCATATAACCCTCACACAAGTAAAGAATGTTGCTTATGTCAACTAAATGTTTGTGCTTCCAAATTAAATGCTGGTGTTTTAGACCACAGAGTATAACATAGCAATGCCCACAGTGCCAGCCCTGGGGACTATCTCACATCTTGGCACCGGCAAAATCAACTGCCCAGGCAGTAAGCACAGAGTCACAGCAGCATCAGCCTATCCAAACTAGGCATTTGTAACAACACTGTAGGAGCAAGCAACATAGAGAAGTCATGCTGAGCCTCCAGGCACTGCATCTTGTGGGTGGTTACAGAGATGAGAACAGCAGCACTCCCGGTGCAGTGCTGTTCACAGGGGAAAGTTCTGCGCGGTCGCTCCTCGCGGCGGCAGCCTGCAGCAAGGCGAGCAGGTGCCGCTTCCCACATCTGCGGGACAAGCCTCTGCTCCTGGGGAGCGGATGACGGGACCCGTCTGAGGGCAGAGGGAGCTCCGAGGCAGCCCCGTCCCACTCCCTCCGCGCGGCCCCCCGGCAGCGAGGGCGCAGCGAGGGGACCCGGCGGCCGCTCCCGGCCCCGCACCAACCTAGCACGGAGTCCAGGGAGGGGAGCCCAGTGGAGAGCAGCAGCTGCCCATGGCGCACGGCGGGCCGCGTACCGGCGATAGCAGCCAAACGGCTGCCACCGGGAGGGCCCTTGCGCTGGAAACTGGGGGCGCCGCCGCGGCCCCGCGCGGCCGGCACCGCCTCGCCGCCCGCCCGCGCCGCCATCTTCGCCGCCCAGCCGTTGACAGGCGCGAGGGGCCGTCGGGAAATGCTGAGCCCGCCCCTCCTCGGCCAATAGGAGAGCGGCTCGGGAAGCTGGCCGCCCAATAAGGGCTCGCGTTGTTGGTACCTTCTGACGGTTGGGGGTTAACGTTGGGCCGGTCGGTAGCGGGCGGGCAGGTGAGTGCGGGAGCGGCGGGTGGCGGGGGCGGCCCAAGGCGCGGGCTGGGAGGGGCCGCGCCGCGCCCCGCTGCGCCCCGCTCGGCGGCCCTCCGAGGGGCAGGGAAGGGCTCTTCTCTCGGGGCTCGCGATGGCCTCGGGCGGGCCGGGCTCCCCTTCCCCGTCTCAGGCCCTCGAGTAAAAGTTTCCTTCGCTCCTTCCGCGTGAGGCTGCCCCCGAGGAGGGCGACGGGCGCCTCGCTCACGGCAGTGCCCGAGCGTGGGCGCAGCTCCCCCCGGGGGTAGCTAACGGGGAGCCGTGGTTGAGGGTGACGCTGGGAAGGCAGCGCTTTGCGCCGCTGTGGTCGCTCCGAGGCGCCGTGTAGCGCAGCAGCTGCAAGGAGAACGTTGCCTCCTGTGAGAACTATCGGTCCTGCTAGCTCCATGGGTGCCTTAATGGCTGCTCTCATTAACAACACTTTCCCTGTTTATGCAGACAGCGGTGAATAACACCTAAAAACTAAGCTGATACAAAGCCTGTTGGAACATCTCAGCATCTTTATTTCCTTTTCTGTTTGTGTTATAAGCAAATTGAAGTGTTTTATATCTTACTGAGAAAAAAAAGTGCTCCAAATTTGAGAGAATCTTACGAGTATACAGAGAAGCCATTCTGGGTGTAATGCATATGGTCTGCAGCTGTCTGATATGCTACAACCTACTGATAGTAGAGTTGCATGTAGCAGGATGTACCAATAAGGCTCTGATGTTGTCACCCTTCTTAGATTAATGATTCTTGTTATTTTATAAAGTATGTTTTTTAAAAAAACTCTAATTCTAGTTCATCATCTGTTCAAATCAGTTTTTTTCTTGTCACCTGGCCTGTGGTTACTGGTATAGTCCACTGCAATTGCACAATATAGAAATGGTTTAAATGTTTGTTTCTAGATAAGAATATTTTTAATTGTAGAATAATTACCTTTTTTCTCACTACATGTGTTTATCATATAGGATTGATTTATTATGTAAATTTTATTTCCCAAACCTAACTCTTATATGAAGAAATTAAGTTTTCCATTTTCCATTTGTTACTAACTTGTTGATTCTATTCAACAACTTGTCTATGTGAAATACAGATTCTGAAATGGATTAAGAGGATTTGGAGTGAAAATTCCCTAAGGAAAAAATAAGGGAAATACAATAGGTGAGGTGAAAAAAAAGGCAAAACATTTGGTAAAAGGTGTGCTTGGAATTTGATCTGCAAGTATGTTTGTCATTTCTTTAAACCCTGGAGTCTGGAGGTTTGGAGTGGGTGGGGTGAAATTCTAGTACTGCTAAAATAGTCGCAGTCTCTAAAATCCATTTCATGTGTTTTGTGCCTGATGTAAGATTTTATGCTCTATAGTGGAACTACCTGCCCCAGTTGTTTGCCTTATTACTTCCCTTACTGGAAAGCATGCTACCTACAATTACAGCTTTCAACTTCAAGTAACTTCAGTTAATGCAAGTGGAGGTTCTATACTACAAACAATATTTCTTAATGAGAATGTTACCAATGTATGTTTATTTGCCCTAGTTTCCTATATTGTTTATTTTAATTGTACTTTACAAGATACATGATATGCTGTTTTCCCTCTGTGGTAATGAGCAGTATGTTCTAGAATAAAATGTCCCTTGTTAAAGATGTATGTTGGCCTCATCAGTTTTCAGTGATTTTTGGTTTACATATGAGATAGAAAAGTGTGTTCTAGTATAAGTTCTGATTCATAATTTTATTCATGTTTGCTGTTATATCCCAAAGCTGCTTCCCTGTTCAGTTCTGGAATGTGATGGTTTTAGATCGTACTGATTAAAGTTTTACAGTCACCAAATCAGATTAGCTATTGGGTCACCTGACTAGGTGGGGCCAGGAGTCATGTGATCCGGTGCCCTGCTGAGCTCCTGCTGGGAGCTGAAACAAGGTAGTTTGCTTTGGAGATGTTCTTAAGTATCTAACAGCGTGAGCCCTGGATTATGGCTGCAAAGAAGATGGCTTCATTTTCCTGATCTTTGAGCTAGTGAGAAAGGGCTAAGTTTAAGTGTGGCATCTTCAGGGCGTGAGCCAGCAACTGGAAAGAATGTTTAATCCTCAACTTCCAACCCTGAAAGATCTGGGGATTTTTTCAGTGTGGAAAAAGCTTTAAAACTCCTTATTAGAATATTTCTTGGAAAGGCTAGGGTTAGTGAGAGGAAGGCTTAGAGGGTACCAATTGTCCAATATTATATAAAATTTTATCGTCCAGAGGTTTCTAAAGAAAAATCATATAATTAAATCTTCTGTGTGAATACTGATCAACAGTGATAAAAAATTGAATCTATGTCAAATTTAAGCAGTTCTGCTACAAAATAGAAGCAATTAAATTGGGGGAAAAGAATTAAAGGAATATATTTGACTCTGTCATGTGCTGTGGATTATAAAAGATAACTACTGGTTCAAGAAATCTAGAAGATAAAGTTATTCCCAAAATAGCCATTGCAGTTTCTGTGCAGATATTAAATATGTTTCTGTAATTTCAGATTATGAGGATGAGCAGTACATCATTACTGACGCAGAATAAAATGGAAAATGAGTTGTGAATTATTGTGTTAATAAGCCTCATACAAATTAGTGATATTTCATAGAGGCTATTATATACTGTTTTAAAGGAGGATATCTCTAACAGAAAATTAATAGTAGTTGTAAGAGGTAAAATCAAGGAAAATAAATACCTGGAAAAGAGATACTTGTATTATGCCTCTTGATACATTGTAAAATTCACTATACTGTGTTCCACTCCCATATAATGAATACTTCAAGACTGAAATCTTAAAGGTGGGAGGGATCGGTGTTACCTTTTTGAAATCTTGAAGACCCATAATGGCAAATGGTTGCCCTCCACAATTAAAACAGTGTATTGTTTCAACATGTTACTGGAAAATGTGAAGAATAAATGTTGTGCATTTCTTAGAAAAAGAGTTTAAATGCATCGATATTTTTGAAACTTTTGTGTCTAGTTTGCAGTTGTATGTGATTGCATATATTGAATTAGGTGTTTTAGAAACAGAGACAGGCAAACACAAGCCATATTACAAAATTTGTGGGAATTAAATGTTAATAGTTGAGGTTCTTTCTATTTTATATTAGTGGAGTTTATACTGAAGTACAAAATGCTTATTAGATGTATTGTAGATCCTCTGAGTCACTGAATGTGTTAAAAAAGTGCATATCTATAGAATTCATTTGTAATTATTAGTGTTTTTTTCTAAAATATTTAAATTGCAAAGACTAGGAATTGGCATGTTTTGTATTTCAAAATGTCATGCATATTGTATGCTGCTTTGGTAGAGTTTTTAGGCTTTAAGTGTGTTATTCCAAATAACTGTTATTCTTAAAAATGTGAATGCCGACAATATTTGCTCCTTATCTAGACTGAGTACTTTTTTAAAGCTTTTGTTTGCCTCTTACCTCTGTAACATCATAAAATCTGTATTGTGACAAATTTTTTGAGGAAGGAATTGAGGATGCCCAAGTCTAGAAAACATTTAGCCAATTACCTTTGGCATTCTTTTCAGACTGTAGCTCTGCTTGCTGAATTATTATATATTTTTCATGCTTGAGAATTTTCCTTTGAATGCTCTCTAAAAGGAAAGTCTTTCAGAAAGAATTGTATGGTAGTTTGTGGATTTAAAAGTAAACCAATTCTGGGAGGTTGAATTTTTCAGTTGTGCTGCCCCACCTGCCTGACCTTCTTCCTTATGTAAAGGAAGTGTTGCTACTAATTATTATACTGGTGTCTAGAATGTGTATTGCTGGTGGTGTTTTTTAGATTAACTTCCATTAGCAGGCTCTGACATGCCCTAATATAAGGAAAGGCCTGCTAAATGAAACTGGAAATGTTCTTATGCCGGAGTAAAACGACTGACAGGTCATTGCAAATAAAAACCAGAAGATTGTGGTCTTTTACTAATGTGCTTGCATGTAAGGATGCAGATTCTTTTCAGTGTACTGAGCAAGTACATCTGTATTCTGATCACCATGGCTTTATTAGATGTATTAAACAGGTAAATTAATACTAGCTTGGTTGTTCAGGCACTGTCAGTGTGCAAGTAACATGAGACAATGTAGAGTCACCTAAACAAGTATTCCCCCTTGCCCTTATTTGCTATTTGACCTTAAATTATTGAGCTACCCAATCCTTAGTCTGGTAATGACATGCAAAAGAGCAATGATAGAATAAAAATGCATGCCAGGTGTGTTTTAAGGAGATGGGAGTTGTAACTTAGTTGTTACTATGACCTGCAAGAGCTACTGAACTAGCTCTGTGCTGTGCCAGTTCTCATGTTTCCGAGTTGTGACATTGATCAGCTACCTCATGCAATGCCTCTGGTGTCACTGGGGCCAAGGTAGTGTCAAGTCATAGGAAGGATTGGATGTGTCTGATCCAGAAAGCTGGTGTTAAAACCTGGTTATAGTAGAGCAGTTTTAATGATAAAACTTGGACCGAACTGAGCAGTTATTCTCATTTTTGCATGTTTTTTAGAAGCAGATGGTATTGGACTACATGTTGGCACTACATTTTGAAATGTGTGAATAATACTGTAAATTTTTTCCTGAAGAGGAACATAACTGCCTAAGTTGTATGAGTTCTAGAAATGTATTTTCTAGATGGTATAAGATTTCAAATGTACTAGATATGTTAAAGCTATTTGTATTAAAGGCAGTCTCCTTAGTATAGTCCCTTTCACAAATACTCTGTACAGCAACTGCTGATGTTTCTTTTAAGAATTCATTGTATTACTGAGAACAGAAGTTGAATCATGAATTTTTGGAACAGGCCAAGTAAGAAAATGTCAGTGAAATAAAGTCTGATTACTTATTAAGGACTTAATACTTTAAAGCAGATTTGAATATGATAAAGGGTTGGACTTGACATAGCGCAAAGAATAGTAGGAAGTTCCCAGAAGCTGACTGGTCCCCTTTCTTACTGCTTGGTGTAATTAAATGGAATCTCTGGTCAGCAAATCACATCTGTGCAAAAGGCTTGGCTTGTAATTCAGGTGCCTAGAACTGATCTGTTGGGCTGCTCCTCTTAAAGGAGTTAGTTTTATTTGTGAGAAGCGCAGTTTTTTAGATGGATATTTAATCAGGGAGGCTTCAGATTAGCAGTTATACAGTGATTGTTTCTGTGCTCTTTTCTATTTTAACAGTATTTGTGCCCTCATTTGAAATTTGGATTTGGGGCATTATCTGTGGTAAAATAAGCCATATGGACCTTTTTTAGTAATCTGTTTTGGTAATCTGTTTGGAGCCTGTACTAATTTAAGTTCTGGGACTAGAGGATCTTTAGTGTCTTGTAGCTACTCCATACTTCAGTATGGAATCATGTGCTAAATTTGAGAAAGGTGTCACTGATTTCCTGTGTAATCAGTTCTCTCACTGTGTCAGCTGTATCCTTAAAAGCATAAAATTAAACACTAGTTCATGCTGGCTTTTTATTTTAGTTCTGCGTTTAAAATCTGGAACTTAGATTAAAAAAATATACTCAATTTATTCTGAAACTATTTGAGTGGAGCAACACATTAGCATTGACTTCACAATAGATCATACCGCTTTTATTCCATCTTACAAGCTTAGCAGCACAAACAGAATAATCAACATATTATTTGGCTGTCATCTGCTGAACAGAAACCAGAGATCACAAGGAGGTTTTCCCTAGCTGCAGTGATGGCCTTTTTGTTCCAAGCCCCCATCTGGGAGGGCCATGGTGTGTTATCATATGGAACGCGGGGTTTTCTGTAATCTGCTTAGCTGCGCTGCAGTTTGAATCTTCATTCCATGTTTGTGTAATTTATAATTTTAATGAGACCGTGGCTCTTGTGGGCTTTGAAATATATTAAAAGCTCTTTTGTGCATATGCTTTTGTTCTTGCTTAATAGGCTCAGTGTATTTAAAACTGATGAATTTTTATTCATGGATTTGGATGTCTAGGGATTAACTTAGACTGAATATCATTGCACTCATCTATTGATGTTTGGAAAGTTTTTTTAATACTTGCATGTGAGTAAGGGAGGAATTACAGAACTTGTTTGTTTTAAATATATCTCAAAATACATTATTGTAGAGCAGTGAGATAAAGTACTGATTAAAATGTTTTATAACAAACTCAGATGTTCAAGTGTAATTTGTGTTATGAAGAATAAACGAGTGATTGAGTCTACATATGTACATTTAAAATGTAAATATAGCAATTTGTGAAAGTGTCAAATTTTGTAGAATAATGGCAAACTTGCTTTTCCTTTTCATATGTTCAAGTAAATTGAAAACAAATGCGTAGATCATTTTTGCCTCAATGTGTATTCTTATGTTTTAGCTCACTTATATAGAGAATGCATGAGATGGCATTAGAAGATGGTGCTCTTAACTGAGAAGTATTGATAAAGAATATAAAAGATGATTTGTTGTTTTCTGGCAGTGTTAGAATTGGTGTTATTTTTTGCTTTTGTGTTTTTTCAAGTGTTAATAGCTCTGAATTACTATTTATTTTAACATCTTGTGTTACATGATTTTTGTTTTTTAATAGTTTAAGTAAACAGCTTCTTGTCAGTACATAGAAGATAAGAAAAGTATTTCTTTATTCTCTGCTTTGATATTTCCAAAAGTTACCTGAATACCTTTAGAAGATGTTTCAGCATCAGGGAGTATGGGGACATGTTTAATCTCTGTAGGGTCAAAGACTTCAAGTGCCTGATGTGAAAATGTAAAGTCTTAGTTAACTAATATTTAAAATGTTTACTGTCTGTGTCCATTGGTACTTCAAGAAAGCACTACTTTGCAAATCTAGATTAGATGTGTATAGTTATTTGCCACTTGTGGCATGGACACCATATATTGTTTGTCAGCCACCAGCAAAGCATCTGTGCTCTCTTTGTAGACCCTTGGCATTTATGTCCTGGCTTTGAACTGTTTCAGAAAGAATATTTCAGCAACCCTCAGACTCAAACTTGCCACGTCTGACCATGCCCTTGCTCAGCAGTCTGGGTTTTCTCTAGTCAGCAAGGATAAGTGTGTAGAGTTGCAGAGGAAGATTGAACCCCTGGAATGCATCTGATGGCCAATTCAGCATTTTACACAGGGTTGTGGAATTGTTGGGAGTTCCCTCCCAAAGGCAAAGAAAACTAGTGAGAACTATTTTAAATCTGTTTTGAAGAAACAGTTTGTTCTCACATAGGTTTTTCTCTGCCTGTGTCTGAAGAACTGTTATGTGAATTTATACTTACAGGATTGAGCTCTTTGTTTGCTTGAGATGGATGGGTGAAGGAACATTTGTTGGAGACAAGCTCAGTATCTGGTAGAGATGCACAGATGTACCACAATAGTCCCATCCTCCAGAATATCACCCAAATCACCAGACTCACTGCATCCTCTGCAGAAGGAAAAAAAAAAAACCAAGTTGCATTTTGCCTGATCCTCACAAGGATGTGAAAACTCATGTGAAAACTGTTCCTTTGCTTTAGATGTTTGGAATCCTAAGATGACTAATAATAGATTTAAAATGTTATATTTATGAAGTTTCCTATTTGATATAGGAAGAATATTTTTCAATTAATGTGGTATGCACCTTTAATCTAGTGTGTTTTTTGTTCAAATGTGCTTAACTGTCATATGCATGAAAATTGTGACAAATGTCTGAAAGCTTAGTTTGTCTTAAGTAATAGCTAACTCCTTGGGAAAAACATGATGCATGGTATGGTGTTACATTACAAGAGGAAGGGTGCTTGCTTAGGAGAAAGGTATGCAGTAAAGGGAAGAATCTATTAGGTGCGGAAAAAATAATTTGTGAAAAATCTGAATAGACATTATAAAAGCCGTTGAAAATATTGCATAAGTAACATGTGACTTGGACTACTTGTTAATAGGCAAAGGAGCCTAGGATCAAGTCCAGTAACTCTTCAGCCCTTTTTTTCTCCCATTGGCTACCACTCATTTTCTTGCACTTAAAATTTATTACTGTGTGTTAAACTGCCGTCTTACAGTGCCATTGGTTATATGGAGATGATAAATCTGCTTATTGATTTTCTAATTTTATTATGTGCACAGTTAATTGTAAGCAAAGATAACAGCATACAAGATGTTAATTTGGAGACAATCTCTGTTTCAGTCAATAACATTGTTACAGAAGGAAAGAATAAAGAGGCTAGCATTTGTGCTATCCTCATAGGAGCTGTCAATAAAAGATGTAATAGGGGATTTAAGAATCTGGAAATGGCCAACTAATTTATGTGAATCTATTTTATTTCAGCTAGAAAGACCAAGCTCTGTTTCGTCTGCACTGCATATTGCAGAGCACAGGCTGTCTATAGAAAACCAGGCGGCTGCATATGGATAGTCCCTTGATATCATTCACTTGCTGTGTAATCTTATTATGCAAAGTTCTAATCTTCACCTAGAATGAATGCCTCTGGGTCAGAATATAGTCATATCAGGGTTTTTGAGGTCATGTTTTGTGATCCTTAGCTTATTCTTCTAAGTAGGCCTGGGATTTAAAGAGTATTCCCCAGACACTAGCAGAGATAGACAGCAAAACCTGCTGCCTTTTTGGAAGGCAAGACCAACATGAGGTCTCTGGTAGGATTAAACTTGATTTGTAGCTGTAGGATTTTTTAACAGATGTATTATTGGACAGGGAATAGGGGGCCACCAGCACAGCGAAATTGGATCACGATTGGCATTCTCAGGGAGTCTGCTGGCTGCTAAAACAGCAGCTGCATGTGGATTTGACTTCTTTCAGGTGAAGCGACTTCCAGTCATTTGGAAAGGATGGGATGAAAAGGAACCTTGGTGATAATTTTGATGTCTGCAAGATTTAGTACCAGTGTAATGGGATTATCGGTAACACCTTCACTGCAGAAAAAGCCACCTGGCGCTATAACTGGCAGCAACTGAGAACTAATCCTTTTCCATCTCTTGGATGTCATTCACAAGGCTCCAAGTGATTCCTACCCTGCTAGCTGTGATTAATTTTATAAACAAACAAACAAAATCGAATGATGAAGGCATAGACTATGTAAAGAAAAATGAACAGAAGATAAGAGCAATTATATTTTGCATTTTATTTGCTGAAGAGGATAAACTATATTGCTCTTTTAAAATATCAAACATTATTCTGTATTATAAATGGGAATGTATGCATTTCTCAATGTCTATTTTCAGTTCAAAAATCCAAGGTGTTTTTTAAATAGTAGGTAGTACCTGAAAGTAATTGCAGCGTACTTTATGCTTTTGGTTCTGTGGTAAGGATGTTTATCCAACAGTTCTGTTGGGTTTTCCAGGGGATGGTGGTTTAGGTTTTTTTATTGTGCTTAATGCTCTTAAGTTGTATCTGGTAGTATTGCCTGCTGACAGGACTTTGTATTAAAATGAATTGTATGATGTAGAAAAATATTCAGCCATATTTTATGAATAAAATGGCGTTGTTTAAAAATATACTGATCAACAATTTTCTGAGGAAACAGGATTTGCCACTTTTAATACTAAAAGTGGAGCAGTTGTGCTACAAAAATTCTGTAGAGTGGTATTTTGACAGAAGCTGCAACTTCTTCCTAAGACTTGGAGACTTGCAGAACTGTAGTTTTCCTGTGGTTTATGAAGTAAATATTAGTTATCCTCTAAAGATGGAGCTGTTTTAATGTTAACTTACATTTTTTTTCTGTTTTTTTTACCTTTTTAGTCTCAAATAGCAATTAAGTGTAATGAGTATTAACATTATTTTTTACCACTGTGATCATCCTTTATCTTGAGCATTTTAAAGAATCTTTTGCATCAAATACATCAACTGAGATGGATGACATCTGTCTCAGGTTAAGAATTTATTTTAATATAGTAACAGAATTTGGGAGCCCATTAGTAAGAGATCCAGGAACAGCAGTTGAAGTTGAACTCATGTGCTCTCCTCTCGGTTAGTTTTAGAGCACGAGAGCTGGAGGGGGAAGTGAACACTCCGGGCCCTACCCTTCCTAATTCAGAGGGCATCAGAAGTTGAATGTGTTCCATGTACGTATTGGCAAGGACATGGCAACTCCAAAAAGTTGCAATGTTCAGTTAAAATTTGAAGTTTATTTACAGATCTATATACATGTTTGTAGTTATAACAAGAACTAAAATAGCATTGCTTTGTTATCTGATAGCTGCTGGTATGAGGGAGACTTGCACTTCCTTTTGATACCATTCTCACTGCTTTTTTCACTTGCTAGGTCCACAATATCTGTCCTGCTCAATGTAATGCAACCTATTCTATCCATCACTGATGTCTAGAGATGGCTGGACTCTCAACTGTCCTGATATTAAAGTCTTTTTGAATAGCATGAATCTGAAATACAAAGCGATATTCTTTAATTTGTTTAAAAAATTGATTGATTACCTTAGAGTAGCAAAGGAATCTTGCCGTGGTCTTAATTCATGGAAGAAAATTGCTGCTGCTGAGTTGAAATGGGATATGTAGAATGTGCTGGGTAGGGTCTTAATCCTAGAGCTTTGTGTAAGATAATGTTTATATTGGATAAAGGCTGACTGAATGGAACACGAGCAATAAAGCTTCTGTTTTAGGGGTAGTCAGGCTTTCTTGCCTCCTTGTTTTTATTCCTTGATTTGGAAGCTCTAATATGGTACCCTTGTATTGGAGGCATGTTGTAGTAAATGCAAAGCCTGTCTTTAAAGATGTGATTGCAGCTTTCCAGGTTCCACTCTCCTAAGCCTGGAGAAGGGGAGATTGTTCTATTTGCTACTGCAGATACCTTGACATGCGGCGGGTAAGCTTGTCTGCAAACTTAAGCATCAGGAGCCCAGCTGAGCAAGCAGAGAATACTGACTGCCCTCCTTACCATTAATTTCTTCAGTCTTGCCCAGTTTTTGTTTCAGCTCTTATTCCACAGAATCTCAGTAATAAGCTAGGGGTGAAAAATACTAGTGAGGTCATTGTATATGTGGAAGTGTCACTGTAATAGATAAATATTCTTGATGGCATTTTAGTTAAAACTATATTCACATCTAGATATGTCTGTTTGTATTCACTGTTCCTTGAACAACACTGTTGTGTGGTTGTTGATACCAATAATAATTTTACAAATGTTTATGACCAAATGAATGATGTTCTTCTGTTTTAATATAGACTAGAAGTGGCTAAAGGACGTGACGCTGTACCATGCTTCGCAATGCCCTAGGGAAAACCTTGCGATTTCTTGGGTATACTGTGCAATATGGCTGCATAGCACATTGTGCCTTTGAGTACCTTGGAGGAATTGTTGTGGTAACTCTTCATTTTCATGATACTTAAAAATGACAATACTGTAATATTGAAGCTGTTGTATGTGATAAGCTTGCTATTTTGGAGTCCTTCACTTTGGAAAATTATTCAGAAGTAATATTTATTTAGTGAATTCCAGTTTCTTGAAGGCAGGTCCTGCCTTACAAAAGCTATTCAGGTTTTAGGTTTTGTGGTTTTGCCACATGACTTCAGGCATCAGTGAAGCAGCTGGGAAGCAATACTGCAAAGTATTCTGCAGAAAGTACCTCCTTGAAGAAGACTGGGGTCACAAATAGCACCTTCAGTGCTATTGTTGGCACCTCGGGGCAGAGCATGAGCTATTTGGCAGCCACCCATGCAGATTGTAGCTCGCAGATCCCATTCCTGGCTCTAGTGGATTCTGACTGCAAGCTAATCGTGCTACTTCTGTGGCACTTCTGTGTTGCTTCTCTTGCACAGAAGCTGAAGGGCTAAACTGGCGGAATCTCAAGTGCTGCTTCTCAAACCTTCTCACAGATCAGGTGCTGATGTGTTTCTGGGGAGACTGTTAGTACCTAGCACAGCTCATAAAGTCATGGATTTATGTGCAGCTGTGCAGAAGGACCTCCGGGACCTTAAGAGGCTGCCATGCCTTTGAAATGTGTAAAAACACCTATTGTGAGGACTTCATGTTTCTTTTCATCTTCTGCATCATGCTTTTTGTGATTTATTAGCAAATAATTTGAATATTCATGTGTTCTGGATAAGTAAATGGTAATCTTGATTTATTTTTAATTTGCAGTGTTCTGGACCATCAATGGAGCCAACAATTCAAAATTCTGATGTTGTCTTTTCGGAGAACCTTAGCCGACACTTCTACTGCATTCGAAAGTATGCTCCTTTGTCAGAACTGCAGTTTGCCTTTAGTTTGCCAGAGCCTGCCAATAACTGACAGCTCTTTATGTTCCTCTGCTTCTAAATGAAATTTTTCATGAGTCTTCTGTCCCTCTCTGAGGGAAGATGGAGTGATTCTTTGCCTTTGAGCAAACACAGTCCATTTTATAAAGCAAGTTAAGTGAGAATTCATTTAGGATCTAGTCCATGTAATTCTTACAGCTTGGTCTAAAAAGTGGAGAATTACTTGTGCTTTCCTAATCTAGTTCTGTAATGTGAAACTACACTAAATGGAAATTTTCATCTCTAGGCAGTTTGGACTTAAGTTTAATTTAAGCTGTAGGTACTGTTGTACTCAGGCTGTAGGTGATCAACAAATGGTTTAGGACCTATTGATCAATTGTCATCTTATTTTGTTCTGGAGCGCAGCAGGCTCCAGGTCTTCTCACATTTGCTTGTAGACTGTTTAACCACAATCTCATTTGTATAATGGGTGGCAGAAGTAGTATAAGGTGTTAGAAAGTCGGAGTAGACACCTAAATTTTCACTGCAGGAATAATATTTTAGAGAATTACAGGAGCTGCTATGGGAACGTGCAGTTTGTTCTGCTCTGCTGTAGCAGGAGCACCAAGTTAAAAGATATCCATTTCATCAGAGCATTGTCCAATAAAATCAGCCTTACATATTTTATATGGTTTAAATATCAAGAACAAATCTCCCCAAAGGTATTTTTAGAGTTGTATAGAACTACACACTGAGTAAAACTAAAATTGTAGAAAAGAATTTTCTGCAGAAATAAGCAGCTTGAATATAAGGGAATGTTTTAGAGCACGCATTGATAAGCATGTATGCAGCCAAATATGCTTTACTTGAAGCTTTTTGTTTTTGCTTCTGTTTTTTCCTCCTAGAGGAGATATTGTAATTGTGAAAAGCCCAAATGACCCCAAATCAAATATCTGTAAAAGAGTAATTGGCTTGGAAGGGGATAAAGTCTGCACAAGCAACCCTTCAGATTTCCTTAAGAGTCACAACTATGTAAGTATTAGACTTTCTTTAATGATTACTTAAGTAGGACCAGGTAGTCTCTAATGAATTTGCAATATTTGAGTGTTATCATAATCATAAATATGACCTTCTTAAATTATTCTTTGTATGTTTTCAGTAAAATCTTGTGTCTTTGAAACTGTTTCTGGTAAGCTTTGAGGACACCTTTTGCCTCCATAGGAACTGTAGGCCAGTTATGATTTTGTCCTGCCCTTTGCTTAGGTTTTCTCTGAAAAATCTCTCTAAAATTCTCTGCAATAAGTACTGTACTGAGGACAGACTCAAGGGCTTCATCTTAAAGCGAACTTGTATTTTAAATACTAGAAAATGAAAATTGTCTCTGCATTAGCTTTGATCGCACAATATTTTAATTTAGCTTTCAGAGTGTGGTTGGAAAAGCAGTACTTTTCCAAGTTGTCAAAGTCAACTAGGAAGATGAAATAAAAGCAAAAATATCCTTAAAGCTCTCTTGCCCCTATGTAGACAGACTAAACAAGAGAAGTTTGAGAAGGTGTATCTAAAAGATATTTTAGCAACATTTTAGACTATCATACTAGAAACCAAAATCACATTTTTTTCAGAAATCTGGACCATTATGTCTATTCAGCACTCTGGGGAGACATCAGTTTTGGCACAGTTTTTGTGAATCTTAAAGATATTATTTTGTCTCATTACCATTTCATTGTTGGAACTGGTGTGAGAAGAAGTCCCCTTCATGTGTCCTCTAAGCAGTCTTGTACTGTGAATTTTAGAGGATTCTGTGGACAACTCCCTGCAGACACTGACAGTTTGGTAGTAAAGTCCTTTGGGTTTAGCTGCTGTAGAGATTGCCAACTTCACCAAACCTGCTGATACTTTTCCTTTGTTTGTCAAGCAATTGAGCTAACTTAGAGTTAAGGTGAAATCTGAGCTTTTAAAATCAACTACAAAATTTCCATCAAGATTCTGTACAGATTTATCTGGGATACTGAAAAAGCCAAAGGCCTGATTCTGCCCTGTTCTGAGGAGCTGAATTTGTTCTTTCTTCTGTTCAGAAGACACCTTTGAGGCACTTGACTCAAATTGGCTCTTAGGATCTGGTGACAGCAACATGGGAGACTTCTGCTCCTGTCTCTGTTGGACTATGCAGAAGAAATCTTCTGTTGCATCTTAAATAGGGCAGAATCTTTAGTCATAATGTTTACTAAATTATTCTACTGCTTAAATGAGTAAAACAAAAGCTTATATACTATCTTGAAGCTTTCCTAGCTTTTGATGCAAGCAGTAAGTCAGGTGAAAAGAGTTTCCTAGAATAGAATGGGCTGGAAATGGACTAATTCACAAATTGTCTGCACAAACAGAACTTTTTTGAGCCTCTTAAGCTTCTTAAGACAAGGGAAGATCAAGGAAGCATTTGTGCCTAGTGGGCAGTGTCAGCTGTTCTGGAAACATGAGATGGATGAATATTCCATCCAGTGGAATATTTTCTGTCCTAGGTATAAGTTATGTTGTCTTCAATTTGAAAATGAAATGTAAGAAGAAATATAAGCTGTTTTCCTAAATATATATTTTTAAAGGCTAATGTGTGGAAATTCAGGAAATTACATGTGAAGTCTCTTAGTTCTTGCATTGCAACAGCTTCCAGAAGGAGAAATCATCTGAATAAAAATACTGAAGCTTGTTATTGCAGATGTTTTCCCTGTATCTTTAGTGCTCGTCAAAGAGGTAGAGCTCTCATCTCTTCAGGGGGTACTTCCTTTACAGAAGAGAGTATTTTCAAAGTGGAAATCTGTATATTACACTCAACTTGCACTGGAATATTCACTGTTTGGGAGTGGGGAGGAAGAGATGTGTGTTCTTTTAAGCAGATGGAATTGCTTAGTATAAATTAAGCATGTGCTTAAATTAAACTAAATGGAGAACTTTGCTTTTGCCCCCTTATAATATGTGACACTGCAAGTGCCATAGCTTGTCCACAGAATCATAATGATGAAAACCCCTTATTTGCACAAAGTGGAATGAGATTCCTTTCCTGAATGGGCTGGTATCATCTGTATAGGATGTTATAGAAGTTAGGAAAATAGCAGTTTTCTTTCCAGTGGCCCTTTTTAACCTGCGGTATGGAATATGCGCATTAGATTAATTTTTCTGGATCCTATGTGGGTTTTATGCTCTGGGTTGATAAAGTGTTTACTGTAATAAGCATTTGCAAACACATTGCATATTTTTACTCTATCAGAGGAAACGTGATACGAGCCCAAAAGTTAAAAAGCTAAATGCCTACGTTTTAGGAACTTGGTATTCAAATCTCATTTCAATTAATCAAGAATATCTTGATTAATTGAAGAGGTTTATTCATCTAAACAGTGAAATTTAAGTAATGAGAGTTAGTAAGGAAATTACTTGATCCTGGGAGAGTCTTTTCTGAAATGATTTAAAAGGTTTATTTTCATATTTGGGGTTTTATTTCCTGTTTTTAGAAGTAGATCCAGGTTTATAATTCAGATTAAGTATCCTATTATATTTGAATTTGTTTTAATGCCATTTACTTTAGCTTTAATTTTGTTAGTACCATATGTTCTTGTGCTGCAGCTCCTATTTACAAATTGAAAAAGTGAGGGGTAAGTCATCAGGTTAAAGTAGCTTGTATGTAATAAACCACCAGTATGCTAAGCCTTTGTGTCACTTAAACAGTAGTAGTACCTAATAATGTCACTTAATACAGCTAGAGTCTGTAAATAAGGAACTGCCTTTTGCAAGTCCTAGTGATAAAAAGCTGAGATACAAATCCATATCTCAGCAACACCCTGCAGCTAATCAATCATAACCCAGCACTAATGCTGTGAGACTAGCTGATGTGGGGCAAGTGTGTTTACCTTGGGCTAAAGTGAGGTTCATGGCGGAGATGGCATCTCTCCATCCTGTGGTTACCTCTAGAGCTAACATCATTCAGGAGATAATGCATCTCACCCTGTTTGCAGATCACAGAAGTGGTCCTGTGCAGCACTAACTCTGAAACAGTCCTTGTCAACTGCAGTAAGGAAACTGTGTAGGTGCTACTATGAATAACAGTGTTAAACGGGATATGTTAATCACTGGACAATACTTAAATTTGGGGTGTAGCAGCTAAGGCACTGAAGGGTGGTTTGACATTTAGAAGAATTGAGTACTATTGGAGAGATGGAAAATATCCCAAATAGCAATTAAGAAAGTAACTTGTTCAAAACCCTAGACTTTGCTTTGTCCTAAGTATCTTAATAGCTGCTCTATATTACTGAGTCAGCATTTCAGTAATCTAAGTTTTAATAGTTGCTGTTTGGGGAAAGGAAATTGGCTTTTTCTTCTACTTCCCTTTAGCTCTAGAGTTTCAGAAGTTCAAGAAAAAGTTATGCTTTAGTTTTACTTAGCAAGTATGTTAAGTGTGTGTTGGGAAGGGAGAACTGATCCGGCAGATTTGTCTGATGTGGACATATTTGGTTTGCAAGCCCCATACGCAAGTGTAATATTAAGTTTAAATGGTAAGAGAAGCTGTTAGGATATATTGCACAAAATGTAGATGATGCTGTGGTGGGGGGGTGGAAGATGCTCAAATAATCAATGGCTCTATTGAAATTCCTGTAACAACTTTTCCAAATTACCTGTCCCAAAGGAGAACACTCAGCTGGTATGTTTATAGGATAGAGAAAACTATCTTGCAAATTCACATCTATGTTAATATACAACTAGCTTTTTGTATAAAATTCCCCATACCACGTGACTGAATGTTATTACTTTTGAAGGTCATGTATTTTTAATTTTGGTTAATAGTGAATATCAAAACTTAAACAGGTAAATATTCAATTGTTACTTGTCCATAAATTTTCTGGTAAAGTGATTATTGACTTAATTTGAAGACTTATTTAGAGAATTAAAATGTTTTCATACTTATGTATAAAAATTACTGTGTTTCATTGTCCTCTTCAAGTAATTTAGTTCAGTGTCATTAATGTTATGAAGATATATATTTAACCATATTAAGCTAGGTGTAGTATGTTTTAGTTGTGAGGGACTTAAATGCCTCAGAACTGGATAAACTGGGAGTGCCTGTGAATTTAGAGTCAACTTATTTTGTAACATTCTCTTTTAAAATATTAAATTCCAGATAGTTAAGCTTTTGAGTGATACTCAGAAGAAGCTGCATTCAAATCTGCTTGACTTGGATTTCTAAGGTGGTGATCATTATTCTGTAGCTTTCTTCAAGCACAAAGAAGGGAAATGTAAAATCTCTTTTTCTTAAATATTTGGATCATTATGGGTAGACTTTATGTACTGGCAGCTTTTGTATGAACCACCTTTACGGTAAGCCTACAGAAATGGTGCCTAGAGCAATTGGGTGATTGAGGAAGACTATCTGTTAAGTATTATTCACTCCTGATTCTGAATTAAGAAATAAAGGATTAAGGAATAGTTATATAAGACTTTTAAATACAGAGTGTTGAAACACCACTCTTGGATTTCTAGGTGTGTGTCTTAGCCTAACTATATTCAATTTACTTAAATAAGGCAATTTAATCAGTATTTAGTAAATTTGTCATTTGATATTGTAGGTTCTTTCATCATATTTCACTTTAATCAAGAGGGGTAACACCTGTGGTTTATTCACAAAAGCGGCTTTTGTTAAGCGAACACCCGGAGGCCATGAAGCAATTACATTTGTTGCTCGTACCCAAGTAGGAGGCACTTAAATAGACCTTAGTAGGGATAGATGAGAACTTGCAGACTTTATTCTTTTGTCCAGCACCGAGATTAGTTCTTATCATAGCTCAAGGAGGAAGCCTCTGAACTGAAAAGAAAAGATGGGAATGATTTGAAGTTCTTAAGTTGAAAACTTTGATATTGCTGGAGGTGATGTGAATACCTTTGACCTTATGAACGTTCAGACTTTGCCATTCCCAGCTGATTGTACCTGTTGATTGACCTGAGATGTTGTACCTCTTTGACACACAGACTGCTTAGAATTCCAAAGGAGACAT